CATAGGTTTATATATATTATAAATTCCGTACTTGGTAAGTGCCAGCCGGTTGCCCAGTTGGTAGAGTGATGTTCTTCATTCATCAGTCTTGGGGTTGGAGGTTCGATCCCCAGCATGTCACCAACGACAATTTTTTTTTCGTAAGAGCGAAGGGGGTGGGAAGGAAGACTGACGACGACACGCGACTTTTGACGTCACCACCCTTAGCAATCATAGGATATATATATTTTATGATTTCCGTGCTTGGTGAATACGAGCCGGTAGCTCAGTCAGTAGAGTGACGTTCTTCGATCGTCAGTCTTGGGGTTGGAGGTTCGAGCCCCAGCATGTCACCAATGTCATATATATATATATATTTATCAGAGCGAAGGGGATGGGAAGGAGGACTGACGACGACACTTGACTTTTGACGTCACCAACCTTTCCTATAATAGGTTTATATATATTATAAATTCCGTACTACGGTAAGAGCGAGCCGGTAGCCCAATCGGTAGATTGATGTTCTTCGATCTGCAGTTTTGGGGTTGGAGGTTCGATCCCCAGCATGTCACCAACGACATTAATTTTTTTCGTCAGAGCAAAGTGGGTGGGGTGGAGGACTGCCGACAACATGTGACTTTTGACATCACCACCCTTTGCAATCATAGGTTTATATATATTATAAATTCCCTACTTGGTAAGTTCGAGCTGGGAGCCCAGTCGGTAGAGTGACGTTCTTCGATCGTCAGTCTTGGGGTTGGAGGTTCGAGCCCCAGTATGTCACCAACTACATTTATTTTTATTTTCATCAGAGCGAAGGGGGTGGGAAGGAAGACTGACGACGACACGTGACTTTGGACGTCACCAACCTTAGCAATCATAGGTTAGATAGATAGATACATAAACTTTATTAAAATCCAAAACTGGAAATTACACGTATCATCAGTCTTGGGGTTGGAATCATAGGTTTATATATATTATAAATTCCGTACTCGGTAAGTGCCAGCCGGTTGCCCAGTTGGTAGAGTGACGTTCTTCATTCATCAGTCTTGGGGAGGGAGGTTCGATCCCCAGCATGTCACCAACGACATTTTTTTTTTCGTAAGAGCGAAGGGGGTGGGAAAGAAGACTGACGACGACAAGTGACTTTTGACGTCCCACCCTTAGCAATCATAGGATATATATATATTTTATGATTTCCGTGCTTGGTGAATGCGAGCCGGTAGCTCAGTCAGTAGAGTGACGTTCTTTCGATCGTCAGTCTTGGGGTTGGAGGTTCGAGGCCCAGCATTTCACCAATGTTATATATATATATATTTTATCAGAGCGAAGGGGGTGGGAAGGAGGACTGACGACGACACGTGACTTTTAACGTCACCACCCTTTGCAATCATAGGTTTATATATATTACAAATTCCGCTCTTGTTAAGTGTGAGCCGGTAGCCCAGTCGGTAGAGTGACGTTCTTGAATCATCAGTCTTGGGGTTGGAGGTTCGATCCCCATCATGTCACCAACGTCATGCATTTTTTTTCCCGTCAGAGCGAAGGGGGTGGGTCGGAGGACTGACGACGACACGTCACTTTTGACGTCAACACCCTTTGCAATCATAGGTTTATATATATTATAAATTCCGTACTTGGTAAGTGCCAGCCGGCTGCCCAGTTGGTAGAGTGACGTTCTTCATTCATCAGTCTTGGGGTTGGAGGTTCGATCCCCATCATGTCACCAACGTCATGCATTTTTTTCCGTCAGAGCGAAGGGGGTGGGTCGGAGGACTGACGACGACACGTCACTTTTGACGTCAACACCCTTTGCAATCATAGGTTTACTATATTATAAATTCCGTACTTGGTAAGTGCCAGCCGGCTGCCCAGTTGGTAGAGTGACGTTCTTCATTCATCAGTCTTGGGGTTGGAGGTTCGATCCCCATCATGTCACCAACGTCATGCATTTTTTTTCCGTCAGAGCGAAGGGGGTGGGTCGGAGGACTGACGACGACACGTCACTTTTGACGTCAACACCCTTTGCAATCATAGGTTTATATATATTATAAATTCCGTACTTGGTAAGTGCCAGCCGGCTGCCCAGTTGGTAGAGTGACGTTCTTCATTCATCAGTCTTGGGGTTGGAGGTTCGAGCCCCAGCATGTCACCAACACATCTATTTTTTTTTCGTCAGAGCGAAGGTGGTGGGGTGGAGGACTGCCGCGTATCAATCCTTGTGTGTAGAATCCTTGTGTGTAGAATTTATTTTTTTTGTCTGAGCGAAGGGAGTGGGGTGGAGGACTGACGACGAAATGCGACTTTTGACGTCACCACCCTTTGCAATCATAGATTTATTTATATGATAAATTCCGTATTTGGAAAGTGCAAGCCGGTAGCCCAGTCGGTAGAGTGACGTTCTTCGACCGTCAGTCTTGCAGTTGGAGGTTCGAGCCCCAGCATGTCACCAATGACATTTTTTTTTCTTCATCTGAGCGAAGGGAGTGGGGTGGAGGACTGACGACGAAATGTGACTTTTGACGTCACCACCCTTTGCAATCATAGGTTTATATATATGATAAATACGTCACTCTACCGTTAGCCCAGTCGGTAGAGTGACGTTCTTCGATCGTCGGTCTTGGGGTTGGAGGTTCGAGCCTCAGCATGTCACCGACAATTTTTTTTTTTTTTTAAATTTTCGTCAGAGCAAAGGGGTTTGGAAGGAGGACTGACGAGGCAAATGACTTTTGACGTCACCACCCTTCATTCATTTTTTAATTTTTGTCAGAGAAAAGGGGGTGGGAAGGAGCACACGTGACCTTTGACGTCACCACCCTTAGCAATCATAGGTTGATATATATTATAATTTCCCTTCTTGGTAAGTGCAAGCCGGTAGCCCAGGAGTAGAGTGACGTTCTTCGATCGTCAGTCTTGGGGTTTGAGGTTCGAGCCCCATCATGTCACCGACAATTTTTTTTTTTCGTCAGAGCAAAGGGGTTTGGAAGGAGGACTGACAAGGCAAATGACTTTTGACGTCACCACCCTTTGCAATCATAGGTTGATATATATTATAATTTCCCTTCTTGTAAGTGCAAGCCGGTAGCCCAGTCGGTAGAGGGGGTTGGGTGGAGGACTGCCGACGACACGTGACTTTTGACGTCACCATCCTTTGCATTCATAGGTTTATATATATTATAATTTCCATTATTGGTAAGTGCAAGCCGGTAGCACAGAGTAGAGTGACATTGTTCGATCGTCAGTCTTGGGGTTGGAGGTTCGAGCCCAGCATGTCACCAATGATATTTTTTTTTTCGTCAGAGCTTATTTCCCAGCGGCCACCCCCAAACAAAGTACAATCATTGCAGCTAGAAGCTTTGAAAAGAAACATGACACCCTGTCATTTTTAAACGTATTTCAGAATTGTTTATCTTTTATTCTATTCACCCATTAAAACCTGTTGACAGTTCTCTTCGTTATGATTAATTACAACCTCTTTATTACCAACACACAATATGAGTCTTATTGCTGGGTACACTATATTTGTCCGAGTACTTGTCAGATTTGAGTTGTGGGAATTTTTCAAGCACGTTGAAGTTTCGGTTTTTTACAACTGATTGTTTCTTCCTTTCCTAAAAAATTAAAATTAAAGCAAAATCTTAATTTTGAAAAGTAAATAGATGCTAATCACACTGATGTGTCACTGCACATGACTTTCTAAAGAAGACGGATTATTTCAGAGTAACGTGCACACTCAGATATGCCACACTCAACACACTACAAAAAAAAAGTGACGAAATATTTTGAAATACATTGAGATAAAGTGTGATATAAACGTGTGTTAAAAAAATACTTGACTTTCGATGTTACTGGTCAATGTTACTGGTCAATATTTCACTATTTTATTGTGTATGTTTTGTCTAAAATGTTCATGTGTATTTCTGAGTTTCTAATGTTATTGTTTGTTGTAACAAATGCATCCCAAAAAATGAAATAAATGAAATGAAATGAAACGAAGCAGGCATACGTGGCAGGAAATAATATACATTGTACATTGAGAAATCAGGATATTATGAAGAAAAAAAAATTACATTTTTGCGATTTCATGATAGCATGACTATTATAGAAACGTTATTTATATACATTGTATAGAGTCAAAGTGACATTTACAAGAACAAATTCAAACATTTTGAATCCCGCAAAAGTGTCCTAGTTGGAACTTGATTTCCTAGTTGAACTTGATTTCCTAGTTGAACTTGATTTCCTAGTTGAACTTGATTTCCTAGTTGAACTTGATTTCCTAGTTGAACTTGATTTCCTAGTTGAACTTGATTTCCTAGTTGAACTTGATTTCCTAGTTGAACTTGATTTCCTAGTTGAACTTGATTTCCTAGTTGAACTTGATTTCCTAGTTGAACTTGATTTCCTAGTTGAACTTGATTTCCTAGTTGAACTTGATTTCCTAGTTGAACTTGATTTCCTAGTTGAACTTGATTTCCTAGTTGAACTTGATTTCCTAGTTGAACTTGATTTCCTAGTTGAACTTGATTTCCTAGTTGAACTTGATTTCCTAGTTGAACTTGATTTCCTAGTTGAAACTTGATTTCCTAGTTGAAACTGTAAGAACGAAATTTCAACCAATCAAAAAATGACTAATGCCAATATCTGAAAATAAAAATAAACAAAAATTAAGTATTTCAGTACTGTATAGGCATACATATGATTTTGGAGAAGTAACATCACTGTTTGCTAATGGATAACCTAAATTGGTTTCAATAGAGGGAAATATTTACAGTGGCATCAAGCTAAATATTCTTCTTCTTTTACAGAAAACTTTTGGCTATTATGTATGCATTCAATATTAGGTAATTAGTAAAATAAACACAATTTTTTTTAAACTAAACTTAGGTATGGCATAGTATCAAAACATATACATATGTACATATATAACAAGATTTCTCTACCATCCAAACAGAGGAAGTCAGTTTTTACCAAATTTCAAATTGGCTATGACGAGTTGCTTATACATTACACAGATAACCACAAGGATGCAAAGCAAATTTACAAAGCAACATGAATGAACTACACCCAGAATTCTTTACAAAACTACAAAATCCCAAGAGTTTTGTCAAATGTTTGTTTTTTAATTTTCCATCCAAGACCATACTGGCAGTGACTTTGAACAGATTTATATAAAAAAGTTCTGTGGCAGGCACACAAAGAAAGAAAAATGGGCCCTAGCTGCTTCCCCATGGGTAGGCCATAACCAGGTTACTGTGCCATGGGTATGACATAGCCAGGCTGGTGTATCATAAGCTGGGTGTAGCCTGGCTGCCGACTAACCAGTAGGCCATAGCCAAGGTACGATACCATGGGTTGGGCGTAGCCTGGCTGTTATGCCATAAGCTTGGCACAACCTGTCAGTCAACCCATGGGTTGCCTTTTTAGTCGGACTACTGTACCACTGGTCGGGCGTAACCTGGCTGTTGTCCCACCATAGGTTGGGGGTATCCGGGCTGCTGTGCCATAGTCTGGGCATATCCGGGCTGCTGTGCCATAGTCTGGGCATATCCGGGCTGCTGTGCCATAGTCTGGGCGTATCCGGGATGCTGACCCATGGGAACAGCGTACCCAGGCTGCTGTACCACGGGCTGGCCATAGCCGACTTGTTGACCCACGGGTTGTGGATATCCTGGCTGGCGGTTCACAACCTGAGAGCCCCCATAGGCCAGATTAGATCCAGTTGCAGCATCTGCAAATGGACAGGCAATAATTCACAGATCAGCATACAAAAATTAACGGTAGGGTAGATCAGTTTTCATTTGTGTATTTTTTTTTTCGTTTAAAGCACAAAAGTGTTCAAAATCTAAAGACGGGTGCTTAACAACCTGATGAACTTTAAGCTCTGTGAATGCTGTATATTCCGAAAAAGGTATATTCTAGGATCTCGATTTCAATTCAAAAGTTACCGAGTCATGTTATAAGTACTGATATGTTGAATAGCTCCTCTAAACCAGAAACATAAAGCACCACACCTGATTTTGTTTTAGAGGGTCCCCCAATCCCAAGAAATTTTTTTGCCGAGGCTAGAAATCTCTCAAAATCTTCAAAAATCTTTCGCTGTGCAGGAAAACCAATGACACATTCTTTAAAGTGTTTGTGCTTTAATTTTTGGAAGGTATCAAAATAATAATTAGCTGGGCTAAACCTTCCGTAGTCCTGCAAAGTACATACATGTTGACAGTTGACTTCCTATAATTCGGTCACCCACTCACTGAACAATATTTGACCACAGCCCCTTGGCCACCCTCCTTGATTAAGTCCACATCAGCCGTATTCACACATACCATAACTAGGAGGCATATCCGGGGTCCTAACTTCAGCCGCATTATCCTGCGCAATTAACTGCAAGACGCGGGAGAGAATTTCCTCCATTCCCTGCATCTCTGCCTCGGCACTCCAGTAGCTGGGCTGCAGTCCCGTGACCTTACCGCCAAAGTCCTCAACGTTCACGGCACGGTGGATCTGTCGCAAAGGAAACAGTTTTTGTAAAGGGTAGCAGTGTTAAGTCAAGTCTGTCACAAGTCCATCACAAGTCCGGCACAAGTCCTCCAGGCCCAAGTCAAGCACGGGCTATTCAAATTAACTTTGACTTACGTAGTCCTGCGTCATTTATCTCTGCTACTTGGGACTGGACTTGTGATTAGCTGTGGACCAAACTCATGCTGGACTTATGATGGACTCCACTACAACATCGACTTGAACATTTGACTTTAATTGTGTACACGGTTAACCTTACGGAGCATAACGGCTGCTCTAAAGGCTGGCCCAGACCTCACACAAATGCAGTCATTTCGTATTTTTCAGATTTTAATGAAATAAAATTGCGTAGTAATTTAGAACGTCATGGTCCAGTGGTTACGGTGTTTGACTCGTTCACAATGGTGCGTGGGTTCGAATCCTGCCAGGAACATGGCGTTTGTACCCTTGGGTAAGACACTTAACTACAATTGCCTTTCTCCAACCAGGAGAATAAATGGGTACCTGTGAGTCGAAGACCGATTGAGCGCTGATATCGGCTGCCGCGTGGTCTCATGGCCTGATGAACGGGGTAATAATTGTAAAGCGCTTTGAGATTGTTAATTCGATGGAAAGCGCTATATAAGCACTACGATTATTATTATTATCACAAATTCTGGGTTATGTTACTCCCTGTCCTGGTCTCCCAATATAAATGAGTCTGGCCACGCCCACAGGAATTGCCACCTCTATGCAAGTAGTACGAAGGCACGAATACAAATGAAGAATAAATAATGAAAATGAATGAATGAAGAAGACGACGACGAAGGCACACTTACCCTATAAAAAGGAAAGGTGAGCAGACAGCAGGGCAGGCACACAACAAACATGACTAGCAGCGAAGGTGTGCAGGCGAAGATCTCCTCAAACTCGCTGTAGTTGGTGACGGTGACTTTGCCCGAGGAGCAGCTGTATTTGATGTTGCAGCCACAGTCCATTGTCTGCAGGTCTGCTTCCTGATAGACGGCTTTCATCCAGGTAACAAAGACATCGTTGAAGTCAAACTGATGTATCAAAAATCAACATCGGGAAAAAAACAGAAGAAGTTAGGAAAATTGCAAAAAAGGAAAATCATGAAACCGAGAATGCAGTGAGCTGTTAAGTACACGTTTTTGTTGATTCCCCCCCCCCCCATTTTCGTTCTTTTAATTTAAACTGAATAATATCTCAAGGCAAGAAATGAAACTGTTACCTCAACTGCAAAGTTTTTCCCTTGTTTGAGGGTGTCCATGCATTGGGCAAGTTGTGACTGGATCAGATGATGAACATGAGGATGCTGAGTGTTAACAAACACAGCCAACCGACCTTGACGAATAACAGACAGAAAATCATGATTGTTTTCCATTGATATTGACCAATGACTTTTTTTCTACAAGCATCTTACCCTTTTTTGCATTTTGCTAGAAGCACAAATATTACCAAGCATCAGTATTGTAGTACTCGAACTCGTGAAAAATTACTTGTCTACATGACTGCCAAGCATAGGCCTACTGTATTACAGTGCAAAGCTGGCTCAGACAAATATGGCAAATGATCAATAAATGTCTGATGTCTGACCATAATTTCAGTGGTTTTAACCTTTTCAGTGAATGCACATTGTTTTAAATAACAAAAAAAAATGTAGTCACCACGTGTGGTGTGGGTAACTTTGGAGCAGACTTCTGACGCTGAGCGCTCTATGCTGACTGTGAAAAAGATGGGCCTCTCCAATAAACGAGCTGTAAGCTGTTGCAACTCAGTCTCGGTCGTTATGACAAGAACGCTGAAAAAAGAAAAAGACATGCAAAAAACTTGGAAGTGTCATAGATAAACAGTAGCCTGAGTAACTTGGACCCTACTTATCGCCTCTTTTTAAAATTGGGACATGGTCTGGCTATATAGTAGGGTCCAAGAAAAATGGTAGCCATGGTCTGACACTTAACTTATGACCCAACAAAAACATCAGATTTCACCCTAAAAATGGCCTCAGAGTTACTAGATACTCCACCTGAGGGTGAGATACAAGTAGAGATCGATGATTAAGATCGAGGTACTAAGGTTTTACGATCTGGAAGGGAAATTTCACTTTTCATTCTGATGATAAGTGAACCTTAGTACCTCGATCTTAATCATCGATCTCTACTTGCATCTCTGGTGGTGTATCTAGTAATTCGGTGACCGTTTTGAGGGTGAAATCTGATAAATTTGTTGGGTGGTTAGTTCTTTGTCGGACCATGGCTGCCATTTTGTTTGGACTATCGCCAGACTGGGACTTTGAGTGCTGAAAAAAAAACCATGCAAAATGAAATCAGGCCAACTTTACTCACGCTTTAGCCAGCAAAATACTCCAAAATTTCCATTGGGCAAAGAAAAGATCCTCAATATTTCACCATTTTTGAAGACTGAAGTCAATTTTTAAAGGGAATGTACATCATTGGCTTTAGCTGTAATTTTCAGAAATGAACTATTTGAGGGGTTAGTATAATAGATCAAATATTGTTACACTGACATGTTTGAAGTTTTGTGATCGAAAATGCTGGAAAAACCAAGAAAAACCAAAAATGTTCAAGTAGTCTGGTTCCCTGACTCCACTAAAGATGAAATGGATCAATTTATGGATGCCGGAAAATTGTAAGGTAAGGGAACCAGTCTAGCTGGCCTGCACCCGTTCATGAACATGTAACCAATAGCAAACAAAATTTGGACTGAAAAAAATGGTAAATTTGGAGCAGTAGTTGAAAAATAGTTCGGTTTTTCCAACGGTGGTCGGCTGACCACCGTTGGAAATTTATACAAAAATACCACTTTTCTTGACAATGACTTCACACCAGGCGCCATAATTTTACAGGATGCTTCAGACTGTCGTTTACCAACATCCTGGTAAGGTATTTTGTAAAAAATTGGTAGTTTTGTTTTTTGATGTTTGCAAATGTTGTATATTCCCTTTAACCCTAACCGCCCTGAATCCTCCAAAATCCTTTTTGCAAATTGGAGGAATTTGCAGGATTGAGGTTACATGGCAAAAGTGCGTTGCTGATTTCGGAGTATGCACTGTGACAAGGTCTTGGGCCGGACCTTGTGTTGTTTATGCTCAGCCGTGCATAAATTTAGTCCTTGATTATACTTGACATCCTCCACACTGCTCCAAGATGTCACTGCCAGAGCCTCAACCTATTGCAGTCATAGCCGGAGGATTTTGCAGGATTCAGGCAGTGGTCACCCCTCCATGGACCATATTCAAGAAATAGTGGAGGAATTTGCAGGATTGAGGCTATATGCTATTTTTCCATGAGGCCAATTGGAGGATTTTGCAGGATTGAGGCTACATCCTAGCAAAAAGGCCTAGGGAGTTAGGGTTAAAGGAGACTTTTCTTCAATATTTTGCACATAAAAGGGAAGTCAAGTCATTTTAAAATGAGGCTAAAGACTAGACTAATACTTGTCCAATCAGGGCCCAATTGTTTGAAAAGACTGACCCCTTCTTTCATTGTCATTAGTCTGGTGGCTGCAATAGAGACTAGTATCAGACATGCAAGATGTTTCTTTTGGCACTGGTTGTTTGATGTGCCAGTCTATTTTCTTGTATTGCATGTTTTACACAGCATTGAGAGTCAAAACTTTTCGGACTACACTATCGCCAGACCATGGGCCAATTTCATAGAGCTGCTTAAGCACAAAATTTGCTTAAGCACAAAAACGTCTTGCTTCATAAAATCAGGTTACCGGCCAAAACTCCATGCGATTGTTATGCTAAGTAAACAACAGCTAAAAACCAGTCACAAGCAATGTACATCACATGGAGTTTTGGCCGGTAACCTAATTTTACTAAGCAATGTTTTTTCGTGCTTAAGCAAATTTTCTGCTTAAGCAGCTCTATGAAATTGGGCCCATATGCATGTCCCAATGTTAAAAAAGGTGATAAGTAGGGTCCAAGTTACTTGGACTAGACAAACAGAGGATGAAATTTAAATTGGTGTAAAGAAAAACAGTTAGTTGGGAATGTTTTTTTTCCCATTTGTATCTTACCCTCCCATTGTGTCTGGAAACATGGACTTGCCCTGCTGGGATCGATCGCATACGTTGATCCGTGCTGGATCATGTCGTAAGACAGGGTTACCATGAGAGGTACTAGTGGCAGTGAAGAACCGAGGAGGGCAACGTTTGAACTCTTCAAGCAGTGTAATGTAGATGGGTTTGCCTGATGGCGTAAAATCCATCTCTATTCCTTTTGTATTGGCTTTACTGCAGGAAAAGAAACATCAAATATAGTTACAGAATTAAACTCAGCATTACAAATTAACTATTTCAGCTTAAAGGGAATGTACATCATTGGCTTTTGCTGTAATTTTCAGAAATGAACTATTTGAGGGGTTAATATAATATTCATAAATACCTCAGACAGTTTAGCTATTCCTATTGGTCGAGAGCCCGTCACGTGGCCGGTCTTAAACGGATGATAAAGACATGGCTAGCTGGTCTTAAACACTTTTCCAGTGTCACAATAAAATGTGGACTCCTAAAAATCCAGTGCCTCTTATCGTTTCATTGGTTGAACGTTCACAATCCTCACGTAGGCATGCGCAACACTACCAGGGAGTCAGAATTTTATAGTTCTAAATTCAAAACGCAACGCGCCAGGTGCGTTCTGCGCGACATCGCGCAGAACATGATACGCGCGCGTCAATCTCCATAATAGGGTTGTTTACATCTTACTCGCCAGCTGAACACTCCATTATTTTGCAAGAGGGATGTTTCAAAAAGCATAAAGTGAATTTGTTGAACAAAATCAGGATGTTTTGAACGCATTATATGATTTTTTCTTACCGAAAAGGTATTTATGAATGGGAATAAATATGTGCTCCGTCGGTATTTATCACTCTGTTTAAGACCACTTAGAGTCTGGGTGCTGATAATTACCCTCGCCTCCGGCTCGGGTAATTATCAGCACCCAGACTCTAAGTGGTCTTAAACAGAGTGATAAAAACCTCCAGAGCACACATTTATTCCCTTATTAATAGATCAAATACTGTTTAACTGACATGTTTGAAATTTTGTGTTTCGAAAATGCTTGAAAAACCAAGAAAAACAAAAAACGTTTAAGTAGTCTGGTTCCCTGACTTCACTAAAGATAAAATGGATCAATTTATAGTTGTCGGAAAATTGTAAGGTAAGGGAACCAGTCTAGCTGGCCTGCACCCGTTCATGAACATGTAACAATAGCAAACAAAATTTGGACTGAAAAAATGGTAAATTTGGAGTAGTTGAAAAATAGTTAGGTTTTTCCAACGGTGGTCGGCCGACCACTGTTGGAAATGTATACAAAAATACAATTTTCTTGAAAATGACTTGACACCAGGTGCCATAATTTTACAGGATGCTTTAGACTGTCATTTACCAACATCCTAATAAGGTATTTTGTAAAAACTTGGTAGTTTTATTTTTCGATGTTTGCAAATGTTGTATATTCCCTTTAAGCTAAGGACTCAGTGTGGGATGAACTAGGTTCAGGTATTGGTTCACTAACGCTCAACAAATGATATTCTGAATGTGCAGAAAAGCATAGCGTCTTTGTTGTGAGCACCAGGCATACAAAGTAAATCATTATCAACTACATTATCACTTGAGGGTAAACTTTGGGCACAGAGTACACAGTACTACAATTTACAAAAAAAAAGGTTTTTTTTTAATGTGTAGGCTTTTACTCTCCAAAATCATTCAAACTCCACTACAGCTCAAGTTAAGTGTACACAATTTTGAGTTTTCCATAGGTTTGTGTACAAACATAGATGCTCCCAGCAGGTATCACTTTGTGCACGAGTCAGCACTCTAGTAATTTAGCTCTGTGAGTAGGCCTAGTAGCACCTGCCAACAAATTTAAGGTGCAAGACCCTGTGAACCTGCGAAAGTATTCACAACTAATCATGCTAATCATGGAGGTAAATTGAATAGAACACAACAAAAACCACTAAAAAGTAGTGTAAAGGATACAACATAACGTGAACGAAAAAGGTGCAAAAACAGATTTTATATGCCAACCCATGGAGGAATATGGCCAACCCAATCGAGACAACATACTTCTGGTTCTATGTACTCAGCAGTCAGCACCGTACGTGAATACGCGTTGTTGGAATTTTTGATTTTTCGACGCAGTCAGTGGCAAACGACGGCGCACCCACCCACACACACGATCGACCAACGACGATATGCGATGAGTGCATCGAATCAAAGTGAGACAAAGTTTTGTAGTTTTGCTGTTTATATAGTGCTACTTTATAATTTACAACCCAATAATTGCTGGGTCAACATTCACATTATCTTAAGCACGTGATAATGCTTTTATCGCAGCTCAACTTCAGATTGGTCAGTTACGTACACACAAACCGCGAACCGGAAGCAAACACTCGTCTCGTCAAAACATGCCCAGACAAAATTAATAGTCAGGTACCAATGAGCGGCGCACCAAATAGCCTTTAGTATTAGATTAAGATAGTCTAGGGGTTGGTTTAGCCTTTATCAACATGCAAGCTGAACTTGAGCTAGTTCCATGGTGACCGTTTTAGACGATTTTCGGCTAACTTGGACAGATTTTTTTTGTTAAAAAAGCGAGTTTGACAGAAAGTTTGACAGAATGGATTTTTTGTGGCAGATTTTTGGCAGAACTCTGCGAAAATGGTTTTTTTTTTGACAGAAAAACACAGCAAATTTGAAAAAAATGGTACAGTTGTTTAGAAAAGCTTCAATCCAGGCGCGGTTCTACGGAGGGGGGGGGGGGGGGGGGGGGGGGGGGGGCTGGGGGGGGCTGTAGCCCCCCCCCAAATTTTGTCAAGCCCCCCCCAAAATAAATTCTGTAAAAAAACAAATTGCATTAGCAAAAAGAAGGATTGTGATGTACATGCGAACGGTCTCCCCCTAAAGAAGAAATAGCCGTGACAAGGGTGCATTAGTTAATATAGTGTGAATGATTTTAGGATTTCATTGGCGCTCCCCATTAAAAATATGGCATGAGACCCCCCCCCCCCCCTCCCCCCCCCCCCCCCCCCCCCCCCCCCCCCCCCCCCCCCCCCACCTATTGATTTTCGGAGGCCTATAATTGTCTGGAAAAAATAACCGGTCAACATTTCAGCACACCTCCCTGAAAAAATTCTGGATCCACCGCGCTAGCCCCCCTAAAATTATTGGTTCTAGAACCGCGCCTGCTTCAATCTCTTCAAACAAACCCCTGAATAATGGGACCGGTTGGCTGGTACCTCGAGTTCACTGGGAGACGTAACCGCATTTTGCCTGAAATTTACGCAAATTCATAACATCTTAATGTGACTATAGATTGTTTGTAATGTTATTTGAACCTTAATTCAAATTAAAGGCAATACTACAAAATCTGCATTTGATTTAAGTAGGAATTTGGCAGATTTTTGATAAATCTGACAGATTTTTGAAGTGCATTTAGCAGAATTTGGCCATGACCTTACGGTCACCCTGGCTAAGCTATACAGTGCCAAGCCATGCCAAGTACAAAAGTGCAGTGATTGTGGTGCTTCATAAATGATTTATGTTGCACAAGTCGGGAGCAATGAATTAACACGTTTGAACACTGAAAATAAACCTACCAGCATTGCTTTTGATGGTGATGTGAGTTATGGAATTGCTAGCTCTTTTTTGCCTGTAATCAGTGGTAATTATTTTTTAACTGACTGACAATTTGGGACTCTCAATACAGTGACTGACATGTGCCTGACTCTTGACTTGTCTTAATTCCATCATCATGATCATCTGTCATGTCTGTGTAGGGCCTATCTGTATCTTTATTAGCCCCATAAATGTGGCCAATTTACTGGACTACCTCCGTAAATAAAAGCCACACTTCCACCATTTACAAAAACTACTCCTAGTCTAGTCTAGCTCTACTGAGTGGAGCGTTGAATTACGGGTACCCCTCCATACATGGAGGGGTACCCGTAATTCAACGCTCCACAAAGTAGAGCTAAAAAAATAAGTCTAGTCATGCTAGTAATAAGGCTCCACGTCCACTACGTGGAGCCTCATAGTTCTAGGAGTATACAAAAACATGTCGAACTTTGTCAAATTTTGATTTTCACATTAAAGCCCGCTTCATACTTCACGGAATCACGCGAAAGAATGTGCACAGTGAAATTCATGTCGTCAACAATGGTAGACACGCTTTGAATGTATTGTTGACGTCACAAATTTCACTTCGCTTTCGCTTTCGCGTGAAGTATGAACCGGGCTTTAGGCTTAGTTTGTAGTTTATTTTTGCTTTAGAAGCATACTCACCCTCTTTATAAAAAAATTATCTGCTAACCAGAAAGTGCTGCCTTTTTCAGATGTTTAATTTCGTGAAATTTCATGTTGAAATTTTGATACGCAAACGTGTGCAAACGAATCTGGAAATTTCACGAAAATAGACATCTGAAAAAGGCAGCACTTTCTGAAGGCCATTTTGAATTTAAATACTTAGCGGGCATCTTGGAAAAAAAATAAACAATTAGAAAGGCCCTCATCCTCCTCTTTTTGAAAAAAACCCGGACGATCAACTGGTTTTTTTTTTACTTGCCTTAGACCCGTAAACATGGCGTTAATTACGGGTCTACCCTTACGACTTTAGTCGGGTGTTAGTGAACCATACTGAAATTCTTCAATTGTTTTAACTGAACTTAGCATTAGTGTTTCTTCAGATAAAGCTGCATTTGTCTTTACACAGTTTGTCAGTAACCACTGTATTATTTGCTGAGATAGGTCCACCATTATCGCCAAATATCAGACACTTTGACATAGTAACCTTGTGCATTTTGAATGATGAATCTGTTTATATCTCTCCAGTCCCTTCAGCATTGAAGTTCTCAAAACGCTGTGACCAAGATGAGTTTACTCCGTCAGCTGGATTTGACGCCAAACGGTCCGGCCGTGAACGTCATATTCTTCAAGGAATTTCTGCGAGTCCGGCCGGATTTCTTCGAGGTGGTGAACGGCCAGACGCATCAGTTCTTCAGACATGACCCCGCCCGCGTGCTCGTCTGCGATCAGTCTGACAGCAGAGCTGCTTTGTTCCCGGAATCAATGGGACAGTAAGAAGCTGAAGTTGAACTAAATTCAGTCTTATTTAAGTCGTTTGAGTTGTCCAGATTAAGTTAAAGGAATTACTTAATTCAACACTTTGACACCTGAAGTAGTACTCATAAGTGAGCCCTTTTCCTGAGTTCCCAAGGAAACCAACAGTTGGAAAATAATCTTGAAATCAGAGATTGGGACTCGTTAATGTCAACTAAGATTTTTTTTAAAAAAGTTCATAATCCCGCAATGTATTTGGACTAGGGCTGTGCATTCTGAACCGGGTAACCCAGCCTACCGACCATTGATGTCAGGAATCGGTTCCAGATTATGGGATCGGTACCTGTAACCAACTTTACAAATAACTTAGTAACTTCTCATTGTTCTCCAGACGGGGTCTACCCGATGTTTCCCACTACCGATGTTTCCCACTACCGATGTCCCCCGAAATCCTTAGGATTAGGATTAGGGTTAGCGTTAGGGTTAGGGTTATAGGGTAGGGATTTCGGGGAACATCGGTATTGGGGAACATAGGTATGCACCCTTCTCAGACAATGAAAAAGAAAGGTGGTGAATGTCAGTTGTGAGTAATTTTCAAAATAATCACCAGACTACATGGAAAACCAAACATAATTCAGGATTATGGCGCTCGTGAAAGTTGCACTTTTCACCATAAAGCTATATAGAGCATACTTGTATCTTGGATCTTGATGAAAACTGAACAGCAACTAGCGAGTTTTCAATTTTGGGGTTGGGTTTCTGTAACGGGTATCCGGGTACCTGTTTATTTTTTTCAGTTGGCTACCTGGTTCCTATACTACACGTTATGCAAACCCCTACTTTGGGCACAACACAAGTCAGTTGAATGATGGTTGAAATATGTATAGGCATTCAAAGATTTCATAACTTTTGAAGCAAAACCTAAAGAAAGCCGGCAGGGCAATTAAATAGGCCTATATTTTTACAAATACAAATGTCCCTCTACATATACACCCAACACCTTCCCCTCTTTTTTCATCTTCCATTTGCAAATGCATCTTTGAATCTTAAGAAAATAGAATTTACAAGCCAACCCATTTCTTTTCAAATTGAAAAAAAAAGTAACTGTCCTGTTCAGACAGTTACTTAGTGTTTTATTGCCTAGATAGTGTTTTACTTTACTCTCGAGGACAATGCTTTGTGTTTTCCTTTGTCCCTGTAATATGACACTCTCCCATAGAATAAGCGCAAACCGTACGATAAAAGACCCTTTTCAACATAGGACCCAACGCCCGATGGCTGAAAGGATCTGTTGTTCTCCCTTTGTGTGTCGGTCCTCGGGGGGTTATGTAGAACACGTACAATTCTTACTTGCTTTGATTCAATATTTGTTTTCCTCATGTGAATGACAGCATCTTGAAGGTAACCAATGAGAATGAATTAGAGCGACTGACCGAGAAGATGCTGCGACTGCCGCTCTTCTTCACAATAGATCTGAAACGAATGCACAAGTCCGGAAATACCAGATACATAAATACGGGTACGTAATAGAAATATCTCAACTGCTAAAGCCATGAAGCCTGCAGGCAAAATTTCATGAAAATGCCGAGTACCAAGATTTTGCGAAGCCACAAAACATTTGGACCTCATTTGGTTCAGGACATGATGTGAAGTTGCAAAATTACAAACTCACCGACCATTCATAGCAATATTTCCTAAATTTGATGAACTTGGACAGTTTTTTTTGTAGATTTATTTTCTCTGGATATCTTTTAGATAAGTTTACTAGTCTTTCAAAATATGAACTGGATATAAGTGGGGCTGTTCATTGTTGAATAATTTAGTATTCAAATATTTGAAAGTGCGTAATTTTTCTGCTTTTATGGGAATTTGGTAAACTAATCGCGAGTACTCGACTACTCGCGAGTAATTTCTTTGCGAGTACTGAAGTAGAAAAAAACACTACTCGCCCAGGCCTAAAGATTTATTCAGGTTTGTTATCGCTCATTTCAAACCTTGCCTCGTGCATGCAGATGAAGCAGCTGTCATTGTGAACTCACAGCATCCATACATTCAGGATCACTACCGCGGATTGCTGACGGAAGCCATGGATCTCATGAGGGACGGCAAGAAGTTTGCAGTAGAGGTAAACAGAGTTTCTTTGACATTCTGAAAGTTTGTAAGCTCAGCGAAGGGAACGTAGATGACACTGTATGACCTAGACACAAAGCCTAGGATGAAGCCTTGTACCAGTCGCTGTAAACGTCTGGAACAGGCTCCCCCTGACATCGTCGGGCAGCCTTCAGAGGAGGGGCTCAGTGTTTTAAGGAGGCTGTGCACTGTTTTGTGATTGGCCATACATGGTCCCCGGCTTCATGTATTATAGTTCAGATTAGCCCAAGCACGTTTCTAGGCTTTTTTCTTTATCCCTAACCCTCCAGAGTATTTTGGCTAGAGACCCTGCCAAACGCAGCAACATGCCACAATTGTCTAAGTGACAAGCCTAACCAGTACCTAGCAAGATGCATCAGGCCGAAACTCTCCAGGCCAAACTGCCTCAGAGTCTGTGGTCACCGAATACAGCAGGATACACTTGTGGCATTGTTCAATGAGACTTGGCTCTCATTGTCTTAGAAGCAGCTGTTTTAAATGCACCGGTGTTGATAGCTGAATGCATCTAAGTGCACCAGACTTTTCCACCCGATGCACTGCGTTGCGTCTGGCAGGGTTAGGGTTAAAGTCCTGTTAATGCTGCTGTGCATGCTTCTTGCCTGTTGTTCTTTTCATGTGATTTTGGATTACCCACCAACGACGTTTGTCATGATCGACCGTAGCTGGCGGGATTGGGCTGTGTATAAAAAATAAAACAGAAAAATTTGTAAAAAAAAATTGGGTGTGAGGTGAATACATCCCAGATATAAGTTTGATCTTTTGTCTCGCGTAGCTGGACTTTAATGGGGTGCTTGAGGACTGGCTGCTTGCCCATTACCGCGCCATGGGGCAAGGGGGTTCTTTCAACACCGTCTACCGCTCCAGGCTGGGCAGGGTGGCGGTCACCAATCATGGTGAATACTCCCAGGTCTTCTCCTGCGACAACTGCCCGACCGTGGGCTACTGGTGGACAGCTTGCTTCCCCTGCTGCTTGGTGGCGTGTCCCATCTACGTGGTCAGTATTGAGTCTAGGTTACAGACCTTTATCATGCCGCCACCATTTCAGTCATGTTCCCTGTATCCAATAACAGTACTGAATGATGAAGTTTTTTGGTGCAAAAAGGAACCAGACTATTTTTCCTTCTAGCCTCGATTTGGGTACGTTGATTTGAATGGGAAAAAAATCAAGATGGCCGCAACATGAAAAGGGTCTATTGGGAGAGTGAGAGAGGGCAGGCTATGGCCTTATTTCCCAGAAATTTTGCAGAGTACAAAAAATATCTTTGCTGAGTAAAAGTATGTTACCAGCCAAAGTTCTCATCATGGGGTGCTTGCCACAAGCCATGAATCCATACAGTAAACAAAACAGGGAATAGTAAAGATAGTCACAGAGTGCACTAACTTCTATTTAAAGCTACATTCCATCATTTGCAACTATCCAAAAAGCAACTGACGTAATTAGTGTTGAAAAACGTACTTGGTTGAAAGATAGTAAGGGGACTGAACTCCCTGTAAAATTATTCTTTCTGGCATGCTGTCATTTTAAAGGAATCAATGAAAGACGCATTGTTGGAAATTTGTCGGTTCAGTGCGGGCGTGTCGCATAGCTGCAATCGGCTCAGTGAGAACATGTCTCGGACGCTGAATTCAGGCTAGATTCAGCAACTTTTGATTTGAAATCGAGATCCTAGAATGTTGTTTTTCTCGAAATATACAGCTGAAGCTGAGCTAAAACTTCATCAGTTTAAGTTGTTCAGCACCCTTCTTTAGATTTTCAGCACGTTTGTTGCTTCAAACGAACAAAATGCACAAATTACAAATGATGGACTGTACTTTTAATTGCTTCAGAACAGTGTTTTTCTTGGCTAATGAACTGAGCAAGGTGGTAACAATTCAAGTTGATGATTGAAACAAAATTTATGCAGTCTGCCAACTAAAAAGAATGTAGCGCTCACAAATACGCGCGATGATCATTCCAAAAACACATCGAAATTGTGAGTTCTTGATACATGGAGGTCAAGGAAAACGCTCATAAATTACGCAAAATGAATTTTTTTTTTCAATTCGTATTTCCGTTATTGTAAATCTTCACAGCGAGGTTGTGATACTGGCAAAAATTGAACGAGGTGGTCACACAAGCAGGGGAAACACTGCTTCAGAATGGCCATTCTCTAAAAGTCCGTCTTTTAAAGTCTTGCATCTGCAAGTTGGTTGAATAAGAAGAAAATCCACTTTTTACAGCAATTGTCACCTACTTGTTGAGCTCATTTCACAAATTCAATTTTAATGGTATTAAAATATTGAACTTTAAACATAAGTGACGAAAAAGTGATTGCAAATGCATATTTTGTCTCTGAGGTATAGTAGTGTAAAATGTTCATGCGCCAAACCTGTTTTTCCGTGGACGGCTTTATTCCATCGGTCCATCCGCTTGACTGAGCTCCGGAGCTTGATTTGAAGACAACAAACACTACACTAGACTTACACGTGACCAACAGTGATTTTGGCGACTTGTATTCAAATTAGAATAATGACACTATTCTTGCGATTTTTTTAAAGATTTTCTTCAACCATGAAAAGCTATACTTCACTACATTAAAAAAAAAAAAACCAGTTCAAATAACTTCAGTTCAGTTCAGTTCAGTTTAGTTTTTTTCCGCAGTACCAAAACATCAGTGACAATGACAATGTGAAACTTATAGAGAATAGCAAAAAACCATTTTGAATAAAGTCGAAGATACTGTGGAGGGGCCCATAAAGAAGCAAAGCTTGTAAGAAATGGGCACCTGAGCATGCATGTGCATTGAGCCGGATAAGGAGATTTTTTTGGTTTTTAATTTGTTTTGTTTAGTTTTGGAAGAAAACAATTATAGGGCCAGTACTCGTAATCGGGCCCGTACATCGGAATATGAATGACCAGGCTCAATGCTCATGCATCATGAAAATTCAACACGAAATACTCTTAAACTTACAACGGATGGGAACAAACAAATATGACTGATACAACTACGACAACTTAAGTAAGTGGGTTTCCTTCTGTTTGCACCATGCACCGTGTAGTTTGCACAGTGGGAAACTAGTCCATTCCTTGGCGTTACAGGGTAATCCTGCATCCTGCGCAGCCCGACTCACAATCCACAGTCAGCTAGATTGGTGCAGAGAGGAGATTAGGCTGGCCCTCTGAAACCGGCAAAAAAATGATTAATAATGGTCACAGTGTCCATAGATATGCCGTCTCAATGAAAATTTGACCTAAGCAGCTTTAACTTACATGAGTCGGTAGCTCGTTAATAAAATGTTGTGTGTTGTCTCATCGACAGCTTCAACGCAAGCTTCGTGTGGTGGACCTCGGTGGGCGTGTCAAGGGCGTGCAGGCGACCACCTTCACCTCCAACCTGACCAGGCGTGAGGTGGAGGGACAGTTCATTGCCGCTGCCGCTAATCTGCTGCTGCAGCAGCGCCACAATGCACAGAGACAAGGTATTTTCTCTTCGTCTCTTTAACCTTTGCCCTCCCAAATACTTCACTAGAAAAGTTGAACAAAGAAATTGACTGGAGTGGGGTTTGAACCTGCGACCTCCGGATAACTGTTCCGGTGCTCTACCAACTGAGCTATCCAGCCCTATGTTGGCGGTTCCCCAATTTGTCCATGTCTTTGTTCAAGGGGCGCTAGCCTGAAGCCATAAACCTGTATATGCCATGCAGCCTGGGATCACGCCCAAAGTCACGATGCAGACCTGGGAAATAGCAAACGGGGATCACTCAGAGAGGATATGGCTTTTTATTACAAATTATCAAATGAAACACAAAGGAAAACTGACTAGGTGAATTATAACAATTTTTTGAAAATATTTCGGAATTTCGATTTCTAATATTGATAAAATCTGTACAAATCCCAGATTAACTGTGACACACCTCTGAACAAATCCCAAAGATGATCCCAGATGATCTCTATCCAACTTGGAAGTAAATCTGAGATAACCTCCCGTCAACTGTAAAACAAATCCTGGGTAACCCACTACTTGGGATTATCCCCAGCCAACAGTAAAACAGATCCTGGATAATATCTATCCACCTCAGCAAGAAAATCACAGATGCGAGTTATTTCTGATCCACAGCTGGACAACAAATCCCAGAATAACCCACAAGTCAATATTTAACAATTCCCAGACGACACCTAAAACAACCCTAGAACTAATCCCAATCTCTGTCTAACTTGGACCAGACTCCCAGATTATACCTTCTCTGTGATTGTTTTTGTGATTTGTTCCTTACAGCCGCGGTTACACAGCCACCACAGCCGGGCCCCCCACCCTCCTACACACCAGCACCCCCCTACACACCAACACCCCAGGGTCTGCCCCCACCCCAGGGTCTGCCCCAGCCCCAGGGTCTGCCCCAGCCCCAAGGCCAGCTCCAACCCCAAGGAGGACCTCAAGAAGTGCCGGCGCAGATCATGTATGGCAACCCAACACCGCGGGTGGTGTAAGCATTAGCTAGTGCCAGAGTTGCAGTCAGTCACAAGTCATTCACAACTCTTCCAGTCTCAAGTCAGGTCACAAGAAATGGAGTACCGAAGTGAATGCGTCACGCGCACAAAATATGTGTGAAAGACATAAGCGCGTGATTCAGCCCGTGAACCAACAAGCGCGCGTACTCCATACGTTTGCACTATACTTTCTGGTTCTAAATGACGTCACACTTCGGTACTCCATTGTGATGAACTTGACTACTTCTCACAGGTCTTGCCAAGTACATGTACTCTTCTCTGTTGCAACTCATAGATCTCCTTGACGTCCAACAAGCAGGACCTGTTGTTGCGACTTGTAACTTTACCAAACGTCGGTCATTCTACAGGGTGACCCCCCCCCCCCCCCAAAAAACCCGAACCCTCAAATCGCCTTCTTTTTCACAACTTTTAAAAAAATATCTCAAATATCGATGCACATTTGGAGAGTATAGTTCATTAGCTTTTCAACAACAAAAAAAATCTTTCCAATCGGGTACTTATTTATTGAGTTATGGCCAATTAAAAAAGTGCCGATTTTTTTTTTTTCACGGTATTAATTGTCATTTATTAGGAATGTAATGGATTTGGGGTGAGGGCAGTTTTGCTTGCTTAAATTTTTTAATCTTTCTTTATTTGTTTTTTTTTTCTTTTTAATTTTTTTTTTGCAACAATGGTCATTTCTCCTTTTGGAAGAAATGGTAGTCCTGCAAAGAACTGTTTGGTTAACTTCTCAGATGTTTACTGTGCTGCTCTGCCCTCTACTTGGTAGCCTTTTTCACGGATACTTTCGGCCCGTGTTCTTATTGCAGCAGTCAAATATCAGTCGCCGTGGACAAAATGAAAAAGCGGCACTTGTTTTCAATTGGCCATAACTCAATAAATATTTACCCGATTGGAAAGATTTTGTGCTGTTGAAAGGCTAATGAACTGTACTCTCCAAATATGTATTGGGGGGACACCCTGCGCTTATATTTGAGTACATGTGCCTTGAGTTTTTGTCATCATCATGGAGGTTTGTGATGCCTCTTACAAGAAACATAAATGAAAAGTAACCTACAGGGTGAGTAAAAAAACACGAAACCCAAATGTTGGGACCATTTTCTTAGTGAAGTTCTGCATTTAGCACTTTCAAAATCTAGGATATGAACCCCAATTCATTAGCTTTCTTTTAGTATAAGAATAATTCAAATCACCCATGTACTTTTCAAGTTACGGAATTTTAAACACAACCACCGTTTTAAAGTTCTGTCCACAAATCACCAAAAAGGTGTGCGTTCTTTCAGCAAAACAAAAACGAATCACATAGGGATGTGTGTCAATTGTTTTCGTTTTGCTGAAATTACACGTTCCTTTTTTTGTGATCCGTGGACAGAACTTTAAAACGGTGATTGTGTTTAACATTTTGTAACTTGAAAAGTACTTGAGTGATTTGAATGATTCTTGTACTAAAAGAAAGTTTATGAATTGGGCTTTCATATCCTAGATTTTGAAAGTGCTAAATGCAGAACTTCACTAAGAAAATGGTCCCGACATGTGGGTGTCGTTTTTTTACTCGCCCTGTACAATGTTTGTTTGTGGGGTGCTTTATTTTGGTCATTAACACATTTACTTGCACAGGAAGTAACCAAGCCTATTTTTAGTTACAGTTTGATCAAGTGACCTGGGCAAATTGGTGAAAGTTGTACAGCTTTGTCTCATTTACAAGTATTAAGGTGTCTTGCATAATGTGTCGGGCATCATGTACACATGTAATTAGCATGCATGTTTAAAGTACACCTGAGTTATATCCTGAATGGTGAACTTTGATCAGTTAACAAGTAGTCAGGGCAAATGCTTATGAAAACACTATGTTGTATTATGCTTTAAAAGCTAAATTCTTTAGGTTACTCTAACGCGATGATTATGTTCATGATAATACATGAGCAATAAAAATAATTTAGAGTAGTTACATGATTTATAGCAGTTTACAGGTCGAACATTATTGCAAAGGGTGTACATTTGTATTTCTGATCCACTTGGCTTCATATTTTGTTACTACATTTTAATTAAATGATTTAATTTGTAGTTGTAATGGAGAGCAATAGCACGTGAAACCAGTGGTCTATCCCAGTTTTGGAGCCAGAAGGGTAGATTTTTTCCTTCTCTTTTTGTTCTCAATAAGAGCTACCGGTAATAGTACTTGTGTACACATAGCTCCTATGCGGGGTCATCTACTGTTCATTGAGAAGTCTGTAAGCACTTGATGTTGTTCACGTCTGTTCTCAAATTTTTTTGAGATTCAAATTGTGGACACCTCTATCATGGGTATTAGGGCAAGGGCAGATTCACGAGGCCTTGGCCTCATTTGACGCAGAGGTGAAGAAGATAAATTGCTTTTCAATTGGGTTTTTCCCCTCGCAGACGTATGATTTTTTTTTAGAAACACTGCATACTCAGTGTTGTCCAAGGGCTTGTGAGAAAAATTTCACAAGCTTACTTGGGTGGGACTCGAACCCACGACCTCCTGCTTACTAGTGCAGATGTCTTACCACTCGACCACCGAGCTTGCCGGGGTCGGCTGGCTGGTTTGAGTAAGCTTATGAATTTGTACTCGCAAGCCCTTGGACGACACCGAGTATACAGAGTTTATAAAACAAGATGTCGGTGTAGGGCAAAACACAATATAAAATTTACATCACCCCTGATGCAAATTCCATCTTATAAGATGAGAAGCATGGACTTACAAAAAAAATGGCATCTTCACTCCTCTTGTGATTTCAATACGCAAAAAGGACTTTTGGGTGTGCACATGGCCCCCTCAGCTCCTTACTGGATACGTCACTCCTGAATTTGTAAATATATCTCCCATTGAAATATTTTTTTAAGCAAATAGAATATATTTAAATATTAGATTGTTTTTTTATTTTCTAATCTGTTGTACATACATGTTTGTATTAAAATGAGTAGATTTGGCACCATTTACTCGAAATTAATAAATACCTAAGACATTTTACCCATTCCTATTGGTCAAGTCTTAAATGAATGATAAAAACTGGCTGGCTGGTCTTAAACACTTTTCCAGTGTTACATGAAATTTTGAATCCTATGAAATCCAGTGCCTTTTACCGTTTTATTGGTTGAACATTCACAAGTGAGTCAGTATTTCATAGTCCTACATTCACAACGCACCACCACAGCTGCATTCTGCGCGACGCGACATCGGGCAGTACGTGCGACGTGTGTGCCAATCTCCATAAAAGGAGTTATTTACGACTTACTCGCGAGCTGGACACTCCATTAAATAGCTAGAGGGGTGTTTTGTAAAACATTAAGTGAAATTGTTGAACAAAATTGTTGGAAATTTATAATTTTTGACTTGTTTTGACTTTCGGACCGAAAAGTTTTGATATTTTTATATTTTTTAATTTTTTATTTTAAATGTGTTCCGCTCGGGTAATTATCAGCATTCATACTCCAACCGGTCTTAAACAGAATGTTTAAAACCTCCTAAGCACACATTTATTCCTTTATAACTTACCATATCGTTGTTGCTTAAATTATTTTGAATATTGATTTATCACTGAAGTTACGGAATCATGTCATTTTACAGTAATGTAAACAGCTTTTGATTTTCTTAAAGTTTGAAATTTCTTTATTGGCATTAAACTAAAAAAAAAAACATTTCGTGGCCTATTGTTGCACAGCCGTGGCTATTTCCATACTAACAGCACTATTTAAGTGCTGCCTTTCGAATTTGCATAATCATTATTGTGCTGTCAACTTTGACCCGTTAATTGTAATAAATATTAAAAAGAAAGAACTATTGAATTTTTTTTTAAACTCTGTTGAAGATAAAGTCATCAAGTGAATTCAGTTTTGATACCAGCAAATTTAATGGGGTAAAAGAGGTTTCACGGAATACTCATAAAAGCCTGAAAAGGTTAGAACTTTAAATTTCTCCATGTGAAATGTTTGCGGTTTGAATCCAGTGATACTAATGTGGAGCTTTAAAAGGAAATAAAAGTTTGGTGTATTTTTTGGGAAGAAATTTGTATATTTTGAAAAGAAGAACACAAATTGCAAAATTTTCTTCACTGAGAAATCCTTGAGACACTGCATTGTTCTGTGAGAAAAGTGGCTTATAAAGAGTAAATGACTTATTAAAAGGCTTTTTCTCTTCATTCAGGTATGCTCCAAAACTATCGAATATACAAAACTAGAATCTTACATTTAGGTGTTACATATATGTATTATATTGCTATCGGTTCAGCGCTACCACATTTAGAGTTGTGTAATACTAGTATTGTACACAGAATAATATTCCAAATACATGTAATACATTTCTTGTGTTTTGTAAATTTGCTAGGATGAGATTCAAGGTAACGTTTTTGCTTGTATTAAATGGACACTCATTGGCTTTGTAATCAAGATATTGGATTTCAAAGTGATTTTTGTTCTCAAAAAGTTCGATCCTGAAAGTGTCGGAAATGAATTGCTTAATTGTTTGGGGGGTGGGGGTGGGGTGGGGTGGGGGGGGGTGGTTATTAGCGATAGGCATGTTGTTCTGTCTTCAAAATTTTCTTGTGGGTTGATAGGTGTCTGTAGAACTGACATAATAAAGAACAGTACTATATCTAGCATGGTTTGCAACGAATTCTGTTAGGTTCGTCAAATACACAATCGAAACTAGCAGAAATGTGCAGATACTTGGATTTTTCAGTTATTCCCCAACCAAACTGTCTCAATATCTCGTTCTTTCCGAGGATGGTTGGAGGTACAACTGTTGATATGAAATTCATTTTCTTTAAGGGCCCATGCAATGTAATTTTTTTCATTGCAATCCTTGAAAATGCACCTCTGTGTCCCATTGAACTTATTTCAAATCTCATTTTGCCAGTTTCAAGGGTATTTTGGTGCCTTTTTGGTTTTTATGCTTATGTAAATATCCATATTCACGAGCAAAAGTATGATGTAATTTCAAGCAGAAACCTCAATGTTACAACTAGTTTCAGCACAAAAATTGCCAGATTTTTGGATTTTTTTTGCTGTCTTAAACTCTACTTAATATATCGATTCGTTGTGTCAGTTCATGGCATTAAGCCAATGAGCAAACTCTTCTCACAATTGTTTTCAACTAATTTTTGGGTTCACAATTTGATCAGAAAAAAAACTAAAAATGAGCAGCGTCTTTTTGAAATGACATCATAGCAACACCACCGGAATTGTCCGAAAAAGCATGGAAACTTTTGAATTTTAAAGAAGAGCTCTTTTCAATAAAATTAACCCAAAAGGGAAAAAATACACCCAAAATACACTTAAGAGGATTAGGAAGTTGCACAAAATATGTTTCTAAGAAAGATACACTTCATGGGCCTTGAAACAGACTACTGAAACTATTAATGAATACTTCGGGGCAAGGACAACTCAAATGTTCAAAGTACATATCACTTTTGTTTCTTTTTCCTTTTGTTTTATTTCTTACACAATGCACAGACAATGCCAGTTCTACAAGTGAAATAATCCTGATGTAATATGCAAACTGTATGCACAAGATATAACAGATCATCTGACTCGCCAACGAAAACTGTAGTTTTCTTAGTTTACTGAATGCAAACAAAGTTCAGTTTACAAAACAAAACTAGTACAGATGCTGGATTCCAGAATCAGAGGAAGAAAAAAATCATCGGGCCAATCAAATGCAGTGATGTATGTCAAACTGAAGCATTACATGTATGTGATTTAATAACAAGGAATGTGATTGGGCAATTTTTTTTCTTACCACTGTGCATTCACAATGTGTGGATTGAACTACTACATGACAAAATGAACTGCTGATAAAAAAAAAAGTCAAAAATATAGACATTTATCCTGATGGAAATTTAATAATGTACAATGCAAATAAATATTTAAGAAACAAAAAGGCAAGCAAAAAAAGAAAAAAGAAAAGACAATCGAAACTGGTTTTGTCAGATGCTTACCGGACTCACAAAACATGAACTTCAAAAACACATTGTCATCAAAAACAGAAAGAAACGACATCAGTGAAATACTGTTGATAACAATGCTTGAAACAATGGCACATTAATATAGAATTTTTACAGGATGAAATTTGTTTTAGTGCCTTGCCTATTCAAATTATTCAACCTCCCTATTAGCAGTAAAGAAATCAATACCCCCACCTTAAAAAAGTTGAACCTAAATTTGAAGAAAAAAAAAATTGACATAACTTTCAATTTACCATTTTAAAATAATGATGAGTTCCGACTACATGTACTTTTCTTTTTACCTTTTTTTTTTTAAAACTTTTGTGCACTTAAATTACACAAACGGGTAAATAAATGTAAATTTAATGTGTGCAGACATTTTTTTTCTCTTTTGCTTTCTTATTCGCTAAATTATAGGTAACATTACATTTTCTACAAACATATAGCATTTACTTTAATCGTTGCAAAAATAGTCAAGTATTTATATTAATGTTTAGTAGATCACTATTTTTCAATTTGAAAATTTTAATATCTGGGTTTTTTTTTTAATTCCATCATGTCATTTTGGGGGAAAACATAAAAAAAGTTCAGAGTTTTAAATTCGTTTGATTTGAATTCTTGTTTCCAGCACAAAAAACCACAAATGATTCGCTATCCTCTGAACATTTTGAGTTGCAATTATGTCCCCTTCTACAAATGAAAAGACTTTGCATTATAAAGGGAATATACAACATTTGCAAACATCAAAAAACAAAACAACCAAATTATTATGAAATAACTTACTGGACTGTTAGTGAATGACAGTCTTAAGCATCCTGTAAAATCATGGCACCTGGTGTGCTGTAATTTTCAAGAAAAGTGGTATTTTTCTATCAATTTCCAACGATGGTCGGCCGACCAGCATTGGAAAAAACTGGCTTTTTTCAAATACTGCTCCCAATTTATTATATTTAGTTCGCATTTTCTTCGCAATCATTACACACCTGTGAACGGGTACAAGCCAGCTAGACTGGTTTCCTGACCTTACAATTCCCTGACATCTATAAATTGCTCCGTTTCATCTTAAGTGGGGTCAGGGAACCAGACTACAAGAACACGATTGTTTTTCTTGGTTGTTCAGCATCTACGAACCCAAAACTTTAAGTAAGTCAGGGTAACAATATCTACGATAAAATACTAAGCCCCAAATCCATCCATTTCTGAAAATTACAGCAAAAGCAAATGTTGTATACTCCCTTTAAGTCAGACATGACTGGTTTAAAAAGAAAAAAAATTAAGAGATTCCCCAAAACAATCAATTTCTGTTTCCTTTACTCTAAAGAAAACAGGAACAAACTTTTATCCATGCAAATTGCAAAATTGCAAACCATTCCAACATTTCACTGAACAGAACTTGTGAAACTTTAACTGCCCATCAAAAAACACCACTATTTAGCACCATTTCATTTTTGAGTCATTTTCCACCGAAAAACCTATTCTCATACTTAAGTTTGTGATATACACACACATATAATAACACTAATGATTCCTACAATACTTTGCAGCTATCAAGAATGCACATAGCATTTGTTTCACAGCGACACTGTAGATTAAACAAAAAAAAAAGTGGTTAGGCTTGGAAATGATAAGTTTTTCCAAATCCAAATTTGCTGTGTATGTTACACAACTCCCAAAAAATCTTTTTTTTTTTTTTTTTACAAATACTTGTTCTCAAGCCTTTTTTCCTTGCAAGAATTGAATTCCACAAATGATGCAAATACAGCCAAGCCGATAACAGAACCCCTCCCCTTAAAACCTATTGCTAAAAAAAAAAGGTACATCTCGCAATATTAACCTCAAAACAGATAAAATACTGAAATACCACAAAATAGGTCACATTATTAAATATTACACATTTTAATTGTGAAACTGATTTTGTGTCACATAATTATTTGGTGCATGTTTATTTCAAGGCACCATCATTGTTACTTTTTTCCCATTACGCTGCAATTTCTCCCAAAACCTTCGTATTTTTTTTTTTTTTTTTTTTTAAATATTTTTTTTCAATTTTTATTTTTTTTGGTTTCAATTTGATCGTCACTTTTAAATCATAATTTTTAATTTGTTTCCAAACAGTAAATACATTACTTGTTTTTTTTTTTTACAATTACTTCTCAATTCTTCTATTTTTTCACGTACGATATGGAACTCTACACAACGACAAATTGCAAAAAATGTTTGCACTTTATTCAAGCAAGCACAGACGTCACAATCACCACTTGACATTTCTTGCGACTACAACATACAGTATTGGAAATTTCTTCTCCTTTCAAGAATTGTTTTTGTTACGTATGTATGTATATATATTTTGTATTAAATATAGTTACTAATTTATAACTGTCTGTCAATATGAGATCAAAATATCAAATAACATCGAAAACTGCTCTTACAAAAATTTAGATTTTTCTTTTTATAATCGGATTTAATTCAAGCATGCCCATTTTTCTTTGCCACAATACTTTTTAAAATTAAAATATCACAAACTCGGCAGAGTGGGTCATTAAAGGACATCTAAAGGTCCTCACTTTCCCCTCCCAGCCCCCCCCCCCCAACACACAGATCTCGAGTAAGGTACCCGATTAACCCAGTCAATATCAGATCATTAAAGTAATCTACAGAAAAAAATGCAAAAACCTCAATATCTCTGATGCCCAAGCAAGTCTTTTCCTCCAGATGAAAACACGATTATATTTTTTTTGTAGGAGTGCCTGTTTTTTTTTTTTAAGGTATGGTTGTATTAAGTAACAACTGATGTTCGGCACCATTACAGTCTCTTTAGGGGGTTTCATCTTTAAAGGCTTTATACAGGTACACCCCCTCCGAAAATAAAAAATTACCGACTTTATAATATTTCCAATAACAAATCTCAATAATACCAACATACATACATGAACAAAGACCACTAACACGTTCACATCCCTGACAATGCCAAGGAATTGAAGGGTGCTGAAATGTTTCTCAGCCGCGGCACAACAAATCCGACAAGATCATACATTTAAAACACCACCAACTGACCTCCCTTGCCATTTACAACCTTATCAATGCTGGTCCCCCTCCTCCATAAATGGACTCAGCGCACGCTCAATAGAGGGCGCTATGGCCACTGGCAATAGCTCCATATACGCTTGCGGCACCAAGTACACACAATGCATCTCAGTCTGATTGTCATACTGTCTTAGCCCAACTACCAGGCATACAACAGCAATGCATGTGACTCCTCATTAACCCTAACAGAACTCAACCCATCAAACCCCAACGGCATGTTTTGTTGGAATCTGTCAGGATGGGTACAGTACCCCTAAACTGACAGTCTTTTACATTGGGTTGGCACACCTCCAGAATCAAAGTCGGAAATATGTGTGTGCAGTTTCCCATATGGTGTTGGAATTTGCCAGGATGGGTATGGTTCCTAGTAAATCAAGCTAGGGAGTTAGGGTTAAACTGTGTGTAAATGTGGAGGTGGTGCTTATGCACGGAGTCCTCTTGATACAGGAAACCACTGTCACATTGTCCTTTAAACTCGGAGAGGGCATCGATCAAGCTCCAGGTTATTCAAGTAAAAGTGGCTGAGCCATTGCTTCCTCAAATCCTGTCGGTTCCTAAACATTCCTGGATCCTTGAAAATCCTCCGCATCGCAGAATACCAGTGACACAGTCTTTGTAATTAAAACTTTTCAGGGGTCACCACCCCAATGCGAAGCCAAAGTGGCTCGGTTCTGCCTTCCTCAATCCTACGAAATCCATACAAAAACCTCTGGCAAGATTTTGAAAGAGTTGTAAGGTTATGCTTCCTGATGTGAACAGGACTCTACCTAACGCATCCGACGTCAGCATCTCACAAATCCCTAAACTTGGCAAAGCTCCACTGTTTTTCTCACTATCGGCTTCGCTGATTCCCTTGAAACCAAGGCAGATGACTCACGTTATTTATTCACACGAGGTTTGGTCAGAATTACCATTTGACATTTGGCATTCTCCCTAAAAACAAGCTCTCATCATGTATAACAACCAGGTGCACTTATTTTACACAGTTTGAAATGCTGTCTGCTTAAAAATACATGTTTGAAGTATTACTTGTGGTGAACATTACACTTGTCTTCCATTGACAGCAAAAGAAACGATATTCTTTCTGTCACGATGCCATAAGGATACAAATTAAACGTTTCAGAGCTTTATAATTCTTTATAATTACATGTACAAATAACTATTGTTTTACTTATATTCATGAAAAACTTTAAGAGTTTAAAGCATATCACAATTTAGCAGCGTTGTTTTTTTCCTTCTGCGCAAGCATTTTGAAAGCAACACACACTATCGAGAGGTATGCCATAAGCATGATCTCATCCAAACCGATATGTGAGGTGGCCGTCCCCATCAAAATTCCTGTTGTAGTAAGCAGAACATCTCCGCTTAAATATTGCCATGAAATCGGATCCCAGATTTCGTAATGGCTAAAGCAAGTAACTAAGGTTAGCATTTAAAAAATATTGTATTGCAGAGCAGTTTCATGAGAGTTGCCAAACTGCAATCTTGTATTTTACTACAAGCAGGTGCAAATCAACAAGCGGGGCATAATTTCATGCACTAACTTTAATAGCATCTGTCCAGCAGATTGCTAACAGCTGCTGTGAAATGTCACTCTCGTGTCAAAGGTCAACACTGTGACCTCTGACCTCAGTTCTCTAGGACGCTTTTTACTTTTCAATTGTCCAGATCCACGTACTGTTATACATTTTTCCAGCAGCTCCAACTGAAAACTTCATCAGCATTTTTACAAGACGAACAAAGTGATTTGTGAAAAATAAAGGTGTCTGTACTAAACCCTTTGTCAGCACGGTGCAAAAAGCAGCCAAAAATAAATTTGCTAATTTCACATGGCCGAAATATAACGGTGTGCGTGTCCCAATGCTTTTTTGTTTTAAAATAAACTTTGTACCAGTTGTCGAATTTTAACGTCAAATTGTAGGGCGCATGATGCAATGAACACATGTTAATGTAATTCCAGGCGGAATGTGATATCAGAACAGCGCGTATCTCTGTCCCGTCGGCAGGTACATGAATTACAGACAAATGCTAGACGGTCGTTCTGGTTGATACGTTTATGCTCTGATGAATCATGCGATATGGCATCTGGAAACCGGCTCAGGCGTCTGTGTATCTCGTGTCAATTGTCTTCAGGTGTGGTAGGTTGCTCTGGGAAAAACAGAACAGAAAAATCACATCATCTGATTTCCTTGGGGGAGGGGGGGGGGGGGAACTAAGGGGGGGGGGGTCACAAGCATGTTAAAACCATTGTTTTATTCTGTTACCTTTTACACAATCAAATTCTTAGGCAAGGGAGTACAAGCGATTTAGGTCACTTTATCATGGAGAAATATGACTCCACACAAAATGCACAAACAAAAGTATGATTTCACATAAGTCATTAAAAACCCCAAACATCTGAATATAAACGATCCTTAAATCTACCATCCACATGCACTTCTAGGGTCCCACTGTAGACATTGTTGATTCACTTCCTGCCCTACTAACAAGCACATGGTCTTCTCATGCCACTTATTTCCTGTGACATGCTAACGACAACATTACAGGTGCAAGAGCTTTTACACAGGGCTGCTGGGGACAACATTAGTGATAGATTCCACGTGAGTCATGCTAGGGGTCTTCACCAATGCATGCTTTGCGGGAAAATCAGTTCTGATTTTGTCAACTTCAGACTTCTTAAAGGGGTTAGTATTTTTAAAGTCAGCAGATACATGTAGCTCCTAAAAATGTCCATCAACGAGTGAAAGACAGTAAAATCAAACTTTGGGTGATTATATATCCTGATTTTTAGAAGGTTTGTTTTGTTATTATTAGTTATGTCTATTTACATCCACTGATGTAGGCAAAGTAAATCACAAGTCCAGTCACAAGTCCAGTCACAAGTCCATCACAAGTCCAGTCACAAGTCCAGTCACAAGTCCAGTCAAAAGTAAACCACAAGTTCATCACTAGTCCAGTCACAAGTAAATCACAAGTCCATCACAATTCCACTCACAAGTAAATCATAATTGCATCACCTGTCCAGTCACAAGTAAATCACAAGTCCAGTCACAAGTAAATCATAAGTCCATCACCAGTCCAGTCACAAGTAAATCACATGTCCATCACAATTCCAGTCACAAGTAAATCACAAGTCCATTGACAAGTAAATAACAAGTCCATCACAAGTCCAGTCACAAGTCCAGTCACAAGTCAATCACAAGTCCATCACTAGTAAATCACAAGTCCAGTCCCAAGTCTGGCCACAAGAGACGGGGGGTTGAACAATGAGAAAGGAATGCCTTTGTCAGATTTCCCCTGAATATTTTGTGACTTGACTTAGGATTGGATAACTGTGATGGACATGTGATAGATTTGCGATGGATCTGCGATGGACTTGTGATGGACTTGCGATGCCACTGCAACCGTGTGAGTAGAGCAGTGCTACCTACCAGCAGCAATTTGCAGGTGCGGGCGGTCAGCGGGGTGCTGTTGAGATTCAGATGATTGAGTTTCTTCAGATCAATCAGGCAGCGTAGCCCCTCGTCGGTCACTTGGGTCTCACACAGGTTCAGGCTTTCCAGGCAGTGCATGTGCTCTGTGATCAGTTCCAGACCGCTGTCCCCAAACTGTCCAGAAAAAAAATTTAAAAAAAATTATTAGTAATTTTTTTTTGCTAGTATTGAAACTAAGGATTACTTGAAAGCACCAAAGGCACTGTAGTTCACAAGCCTGAGGAAATGTTTCAAGAGAAATGTTATCCGAGAAGAACTGAAGTGTTGGCCTGTGAGGGTCCACGTGTTGGCCTGAGGGGTCTACGTGCTGGCCTGAGGGGGTCCACGTGTTGGCCTGAGGGGGTCCATGTGTTGACCTGAGGGGGTCCACATGTTGGTCTGAGGGGGTCCACGTGTTGGCTTGAGGGGTGCACGTGTTGGCCCGAGGGGTTCCACGTGTTGGCTTGAGGGGGTCCATGTATTGGCCTGAGGGGGTCCACGTGTTGGCCCGAGGGGTTCCACGTGTTGGCTTGAGGGGGTCCACGTGTTGGCCTGAGAGGGTCCATGTTTTGGCCTGAGAGGGTCCATGTTTTGGCCTGAGAGGGTCCATGTTTTGGCCTGAGGGGGGTCCACAGGGCCTTCCACCTGTTCACGATCATGGTGCTACCTCATTAACGGCTTCAAATTTTAGTCAATGTTTACAATTTATAGAAATTCGATATCTCAACCTACCTGGGTGGACCAGAGATTTAACGTCTTGAGATTGGGCAGCTTGATGAGTGTCTCAGCACAGCCGCTGGTGACGTGAGTGAAGGCCAGGTTCAGGCATTCCAGGTTGCCCAGGGGTCCTGAGCTGAAGAGTTGAGCCACGTCTACATCGGTGGACTTGGAGGGTAGGGACAAGGCATGGGGACCTCCTTTCTCTTGCTGGTGGATGCCAAAGGAGGAAAAACATTATTGTCATAAATCCATCACAATCTAAACGGCCTATGAGAATGGCATTCCTTTTAACAATAACAACCTCCAACTGCATGTTTTGTTGGAATCTGTCGGAGTGAGTACTGCTCTAGTAAACTGATTACGCTTTCCATTGGGTCAGGCATACCACCATAATCAGAGTCCAACAGTGTGGGTGTGGAGTTTACCATATGGTGTTGGAATTTGCAAGAGTGAGGAAGGTTCCTAGTAAATCACTCAAGGGGGTCAGGGTCAAGCATGCCTTTTCATGATCACACGTTAACCCTAACCGAACACAACCCATCAAAGTTCAACAGCAGGTTTGTGTTTAAATCTGTTGGGATAGGTACAGTACCCCTAAACAGATGGTCTTTTACACTGGGGTTGGCATACCTCCAGAAACTAAGTCCAACAGTGTGTGTGTACAATTTCCCATGTGGTTGTTGGAATTTGCCTGAATGGGTGTGGTTCCTAGTAAATTAGGCTGGGGAGTTAGGGTTAAGGAAGTGAAATATCACGACTTCCCACATAAATATCAAAAGGTCCGGCAATGTTAAAAGGCCTCTTCATAAGTGTGTTTGGTCCAGTTTGAATCCACGGCACACTCCAGGCATATATAACCTATAGATTTAACGATGCAAGAAACACAACAAAGCATTTACAGAAATGCGGCTTTACTCAAGATCAAACTCAAGAGAACAAATCCAAACATTGTTGTGTGAAGCCACCACACTTGAATGCGAAGCAAATGTGAGGAAACAGGAAACATTGGCTGCATATGAAATGTGTTCAACCGCTACCAATTCGCAGTACGATAACTAGACATGAGGTCATATATACATGTGCATGTTCGCTTTCGCACAGAGCATGAACCGCCCCTAATGCTACAGCAACCACAGGCCGAGCATGCTCACCAGCTGTTTGAGGGCCGTCTGTTTCTCACACAGATTCTTGTACGTCTCCAGGCCTTCGTCGGTGCTCTTGAGCGTCTGCGTCACCTGCATGCAAGTCTCCTCATCCGGCAAGACGTCCAACTCCAGCATCAGGCACAGCATCTTGAGAGGAACAAAAAGGTCAAAGGGAAAGCAGAGGTCATGACCCTTCACAAAAACAGGCCTGAATCACGTTATTGAACTTTCCACTGGATCTTATTCTTTTGGGTTATACTTCTGGTCTCAGAAGAGACGTCCTACAGTCCTCTTTATACCAAACATAGATTTTTTGTAAGGGAATAAATATGTGCTTGGCCAGTTTTCATAAGTACGTTTTAAAACAGGCTAGGAGCCTGGTCACTAATCATGTTCGGCTCGGGCCAATATCGGCGACCAAGCCCCAAGCCAGTTTTAAATGTGCATGTTTAATAATTCATAAACACACATTCATAAATACCTTTTGGTCAGAAAATCAAAACAAGTCAAAAAGTATAAATCTCCAATGAGGTTGTTCAAAAAGTTTACTTCATGATTTTTTTACACACCCCTCTAGCTATCAGGCATGCAACTGGGAAGTCACAGAAAAAGAGGAAATTCAAATCTTTCCAAGACTTAGTACAGTGTTTTTCTATTTTCAATGGCACACATTGGAAGTGAAAAAAGAGGAAATCAGCTGATCCGAGGAAAAGTTGCATGCCTGGGCTATGTTTATGGTATGTGCCTTTCGCTAAAAATCTCCTTACACGGAAATCGGCACGCACGTGGCGCATACTGCGCGATGTGGCGCATACTGGCGCAGTATGCAGATGTAGTGTGAATTTAGGACTCTATAAAATACAGACCCATTGGTAGTATTGCGCATGCCTAACCGAGGATTGTGGACGTTCAACCAATTAAAGGGTTAAAGGGACCGGATTTCATAGGAGTCCAAATTTCATGTTACATCAGAAAAACGGGCCAGTCTGTGTTTTATCAACCATTGAAAACCACCCACGTGATGGGCTCTCCACTAATAGGAATGGGTAAACTGTCGCAGGTATTTTGAATAATTATTAAAATAGGATCTCCCTTTTTGACAGTGACGATTTAATTTTGAAAAAGGAACTTTTCTTGGCAAAGTCATACATGCACCTATCTGACATTATATTTATAGCATGAAATTTGATACATCGCAAAGGTGAAAGTAGAGACCTTGCCCCTTCAATTGTTTTTCCCTCTTACACTTTTTTCCTAACTGAGACCCCTCCACAATTTTCCCCAAGCAAACCACTTATCAAGTAAATGTCATGGTCTGAACATTTTCAAGTACATTTTAGACATATTGAGGATCACGAATTAACAAAAAAAAACCACACTAAAAGTTTAAAAATCAGTTGATCTCCTTTTCAAGCTCTGCCCTAAGCGTCTGCTTTTTCCAGAACATCAATAAAGACTTGATACAGAATTTGGTTGCCATAGCAACAACTGCCTATGTGGCAGCCTTCGCTCGTATCCTGTCCTGCCGAACTATCTGGCTGATGATTTGAATATCAAAATAGCCTCAAGGCAGATACGTCCATTACTCCTGTCTCCTTAGAGGATTAAATCTTAAATACAACTTTCCGGAAGTCACAAAAATGTTATTATTATTTTATTTCTCTCTCTATTTTGGCCCAAGTATGATCTCACACACAAAAAGTATTAGCACTTTCAATCTTTCACGAACTCGTACCTCGTTAGAATTTAAATTAATTGTGCGAATGGGCCACCCATAAAGTCATCAATAGTCGAAGGAGAAACGTGACACAGAGGATGTGACCTTAAACACAACGACCGACACCGACAGATTATGCTTTAATAATTGGCTTTTTCTCCAATTAATCTGGTTGATGTGAACAGAAAACAAACAGCAATTACTGAGGCTTTGTTTGGAGGCCGGGACATACGCACATATACACGTACAAGTTAGTAGTAAGTCTACATGTAAATGATGAATAATGGTATCACAAACTGACCATGATATATATTCTATCCATGAACTGGTTTTTTTTTTTTGGGGGGGGGGGGGTTGTACACTGCTACTTTATGACATATCATCACTTTTTTACACAAAGAAATAATGAAGTCTTTCCCCCAAAGTTTTTGTCACTGTTTTGGCTAGGACTCATGTTCAACATTTCTTGCCCAAATTGAAATTTTTTTCCCCAACAACATGCTTGACATGGGTGAATCAGCTTAATAGAAACAAACGACTGCAAGATGATTTCTCCTGAGAAAATAACACACCACTGGAATGACACGGGAGTAAAATTGTACCAGCCCGTCGTCGGATAATGAAAATACTTTTCCTACTAAGTAATGAATACATGTAGTTTCATTGCAGTACCCGTACCCGCAACTACATATCTGATTCGAACCAGCCAGTTGACCCCGGCAAGCTCGCTGGTCGAGTGGTAAGACATCTGCACTTGTAAGCAGGAGGTCGTGGGTTCGAGTTACTCGGAGGCAACACCGAGTATACAGAGTTTATAAATACGTCGGTGAAGGGCCAAACCCAATATTGAATTTATATCACCCTGACGCAAATTTCATCTAATGAACAGTTATTTTTAACTCAACAATTTCCAGCAGACTGACAGTTGACTACAAACAGACCATGATATTCCATCCACAAACTGGTTTTTTTTGGTTGATACACCGCCATTTCATCACAAATCATCACTTTTATACACAAAAAAATAATGAAGTCTCCCCCCCCCCCCAAGTTTCTTCGACGTTATAGCTGGGACTCATGTTCAACACTTCCTGCCCAAACTGAATTTTTTCCCAACAATATGCTGACAGGGGTGAATCAGCTTAAATTGAAATAAATGACTGCACGATGATTACCCCTCGTTTCCTGAGAAAATAACACACTACTAGAAAAGACACGGGAGTGAAATTGTACCGGCGCGCCGTCCGCTAATGGAATATTTTCCCACTGACTGTGCAAATGGCGCCATCTATCAATTAATCACAGAGATGTGGAACAGGACTCCACAAAAACAAGTGAAAAATGAGACAACAGAAAACGCAGATGATGGGAAGCTTATTAGTCTGATTATGGCAGCATGAACATGTACACACTGCTCCACCAGTGCTCTTTCACATATTCGTTTTTATTTTTTTCTCCAAACAATTTCTTAATTTGTACGTTTGTTTCAATAGAGAAAAAAGTATCGTTATATAATTTTGGACATTTTCAACCAGCTGAAAATTTGATTTCGGGTTACTTTTGCATCCATAATGCACAAAAAGATAAGTCGTTGTCGGTCCGGAATTATTTCAAAATTATTATATTCATTATTCACTTTAAAAATTGTCGGCGGATTATTTTTTAAAAACATAGCAATCTAAAAAAATATATATATTGTTCGGAGTAAGACTCAAAAATAGCAAAAGAAGAGCAGCTTTAACAGCAAAATTGTTATGGCTGAGCTGAAAACCTGGGGCCAATTTCACAGCGCTGCTAAGCACAAAAATTTGCTTAGCACAAAAAAAGTCTGGCTTACAAAAGCAGGTTACCAGCCAAAACTCCATGTGATGTATTTTGCTCGTGATTAGTATTCAGCCATTGTTTGCTTAGCATGAAAATCACATGGAGTTTTGGCTGGTAACCTGCTTTTATAAGCCAGACTTTTTTTGTGCTAAGCAAATTTTTGTGCTGAGCAGCGCCGTGAAATTGGGCTCTGGGCCCAACTTCATACTATAGCAGACTACTATAGCAGAAAATCATGCTGCTGCTTAAGCACTATTTCATGGCGTGGATGTGCTAACGGTTGCGCGCACATGGAGATTTCTATTGTTACGTCACTGATTTAAGCAACTTTTTCCTCTGGGGTTAAGCATGCTTTTGTTGTGCTTTCTGCTTACAGTCTGTATGAAAATAAATGGAGGCTCGGTAAGCACAAATCAGTTGTTTTAAGCGGTGCTATGAAATCAGGCCCTGGTATCATCAAGGTGGCTTATTCAACCGTTGGTGTACTGACTTTGAAATGATGTATATAAAAACACATTTGTTGCAGCCATAATTATTTCTGATGGAAAGTAAGTGATATCTTTCCGGCATTGATTTGTGGAGTAAAAATCCAGGGCAACCCATACCCAGGGCAGTGTTGGCACTGTGCCAACTGGAAGGCTCGTCAAAGCCCTGCAAATGCAACAGGCACTTTACTCTAATTAATTCCACTTGTGTTTCATCATCAAATTAGGATTCCCCCCCCCCCACCTCCCGTCCAAAGGTCAAGCTTATACACATACTTCATGTCAATGCAACTGTAGAGTAAATTTGATGTCACGATGCATTTGCCGCAAAATGCGCCACGGTTGATATATTTTTCAAACGGTTTTGGCAAATTTGTGGCGGACTGCTTGCTGTGATGTCAACCATTTTCATAATCTTTTTGCTATTGTGCCAAATGTGAACCAGTCTTCCCATACCCACGCATATGTTTGTGCCTTCCACTTAGTTTGTCTATTGTGCCCAGGTATCCCACTGGAGCCATCAGCCTTTGTCCCTTAATAAGGCTTAAATGCGGCATGACATAATCAGTCTTTTCTTACTCTAATGTTTGTTTCAATAGGTCTATTGATGCTCCGTATTCCAATGATGTAGTAGTCTTTTCGCAAGCAGTGATTTTCGTTGATTAAGATGTTTATTTTGTTTTCCTTAAAAATCTGAGTTTTTAGGAATAAGGGAGACCTATGGAAGTGCAGCCAGCAATGTCAATGTTCCCGTCCAGGTGATAAATAGGGAGCTACATTTCTTTCTTATTCACAATTATTGATTTGCTCTTTATCAGTATGATTCACGGTCAATTTGCATGGCAAAAGAAAGCAACAAATATATTCCTTTTAAAGAAATGTAGCCCAGTTGATTATATGGTGAGTTTTATTGGAAACTTATTTTGAGTATATCTTTTCGGGGTATAACTTTGGGAAAACTCACATAATGGAAATTTTGGACATTTTATGCCACCATAGCGCCAGAATATGTTGGTAAAAATGTCGCCAACATGCGAAGACTAGTGGATGTCTCACACTGCGCATGTGCAGCAAGTAACCTCCAAGTGACTACACAGGCAACAGGCTATGAACATACGTGCCCAATGGGTGATCTCAAAAGTTGCAATGCTCTCTCAACCTCCAGGCCCCATTTTCTGACAAAATCTGATCTATCTATGATGTAAAGGGTCCGTTCATCATGCCTTGCGTGATTGCAGAGCAAATACATGTAGGTCTTATTCAGGATTGAATAAGAGAGTTGCTTCGACGCAATTCGCGAGGCTCTAATAAAAACCAACTTGAACCTAAGATTATTGACACAAGTTTACAAATTTGCTACAGCTAAAATGTTGCATTTTTGCCATCTGTATTTTTTGGAGTTAACTAAACTGCTTTAACAAACCAGATTTCTCTGGTGGTGGTACCCAAAACATAAACATTTGTGTACTTGTTTGCTTTCGAGGCGAGTGTCATCAGCATTGAAGTGTCCATGAAATGAATTTTTCTTAGGAACATATTTTGTACACCTGTTTACCCTCTTGAATGTATGAAAACTATTTGACATCCCTTTTTGGTTAATTTTATGCAACAGTGTGTTTCTCTAAACATTTCAAATCGTCTATGCTTTTCCGGACAACTGAGGGCACTGTTGCTGTGATGTCATTTCAGGAAGACACAGTTCAGCTGAGGGGTTTTCTGTTCACATTGTGAAACCACAAAATTTGCTCACTGAAAACATCTGTCAGAAAAGTTTACTCACTGGCTTACTGCCATGTACTGACACAACAACGAATCACCAAAGAACAGAAAATTTGTAACGGCAAAAATATCCAAATTCCTGGCAACTTTTGGTGCTGAACTAGCTGTAACATTAAGGTTTCTGCCTAAAATCATCGCATTTTTGCTCATGAACATTGAAATTCACATTAGCATAAAAGCAAAAAAGTCACCAAAATACCCTTGAAAATGGCAAAACAAAACTTCAAAATAAGGTTAAATCAGGCATGTAACTGTACATTCACAAAAAAAGAGGAAATTCCAAAAGTCAGAAGACTTTGTACAGTGTTTTTCTATTTTTGAATGACAGAAATGGGAATAAAAAAAAAGAGGAAATCAGCTGATCCGAGGAAAAGTAACATGCCTGTTAAATGAGACATAAAAGTGCATTTTCAACGACTGCATTAAAACCCTACTGCGGTTTGAAAGGTCAAAGATGGTCAAAATTTTCTTCCACTTCCCCTGGTGTACTTGTAACAAACCAATGGGTCACTTGGCCAATATTGACCCAAGTAACAACATGGCTCAGAGTGCATGTTTCCAGAGGAGGGATAATTATTAATTAAAAAAATCACATTGCATGGGCCCTTTCAGCGAGAAACCCTATATAGAACCAGGCCAAGCAGTGGCACCTACCTCGATGCAGGTAGCGTTTCTTCTCAGGGCCAAGAGCTGGATCGGCTCAAACAGCCGAGGAGTGACAGACAGAAGGAAACGGCGCCGTCGACAGCAACAGCTTATCAACTTGTGTAACTGACAAAAGAAATTTAAAAAAAAAACCATTAACAATAAAAAATACATGATCATTAGGAATCAAAATAACTCTCTCCAGGGAACTAAATATTTAAAAATAACGCAGCAGCAGAACCTGTTTTCATGGTTAACTGGACAATTATGGCATCCCCAACGGATTTCTTCTCTAGCTCTTCACATTAAAAGCAAAAATCGTCATAGATAACGATTCCGTATATAGGGCACAAGTTGCACAACAGGATATGTCGTCGATTGCGAGGACAACTAATCACAGTGGGGACAAAATATTGACGTAAATGAAGTCCGCGGTGTAATTAGTAGCAGTCAATGAACATTATCTTCTCATACGTGACCAACTGTCACAAGAAAACATGATCAACGTTTAGAACGAGTCTGTGTTTGTGAAGAAAATTTCACGGTTTGCACGGCACAGTCGGCGATAACATGCGCAGAGCATAAAAGTACAGTCTTTTGATGAAAATTACATGTACCAAGACATTTGACAAACTTGTACACGTAGTTCTGTGAATTGATTGTCGCTGAATAACGCAGGGCAAACATGATCAAAGTTCAGAACAAGTCTGAGATTCTGAAGAAGATTTCACGGATTGCACGGCGCAGTCGGCGATAACATGCGCAGAGCATAAAAGTACAGTCTTTTGATGAAAATTACATGTGCCAAGACATTTGACAAACTTGTACACGTAATTCTGTGACTTGGTCGTCGTTGAATAAAGCAGGGGGAGAGAGCTTTCCAGCGATAGTGACATGAACCGTGCTGTTCATGGCTGATAGACCAATCCATTCAGCTCTGCCGCACGGCGTTTTGACCAAGCACAGCCGTGAATAATGTCCAACATCCATGCATGAGGGAAAGATGTGCGGGCATGCGATCATGACGCGCACATCTAGATAACACAGTGTGGCATTAGAGGCCGAGCTGAATGGCTCGGTTTTTATTTTGCAGCCGGCCATATGTGTCAACAGAACATTATCTGACCTTACTGAAGCCCTGTTTCGCAAAACAAAATTTGTGACGTCAACAATACGTTTGAAGTGCGTCCAACATTATTGACGACATGAATGTCCCTCCGCATTTGCTTTCGCGTGAAGTACGAACCGGGATTTACTCTCTTAAACGAGAGCAAACTTGAAAATGTTCTGAGATTTCATTTTTACTTCTAGATTGTTTTTTTCAATCGCTATTTTCCAACATAATATAAAAGTTATTCACTTATTAGATGTCAAATGAAAAATCCACCAACACTTATTTCTTGAATTATTTTTTTACAGAGTTTGCATAATTTGTGGCCCGACAATAAATCGGCTCTCGCTGGGCGAATTCATTTACACGCAAATTGAAAGCTCTTTTTCAGAGAGTTGCATACGGCAAATTAAAAAGAATACAGAAAAAAGAGAACTTTTTTGCAAGAGAATGAGCTCACCATCTGGGAGAAGATCTGTCCGTCATCGTTGCACGCTGCACCCCCGGGACAGAAGAGGTCCAACCACCCAGCCTTGCCGTCCCGGACCCCGCAGACCGCAGTGTGCACCTCGCAACGATCATCGGCCGCAAACTTGCTGATGATGGTACTCAGGGCGCTGTCGGTGATCAAAGAGAGAGAGAGAGAGCGAGGTTCGTTAAAGTGAGAACAAAGTGAACTTCATGACATCAATTTTGAGTAGATTCACAATACAGTAAAACCAACCAGCATCAAAGTTGCTTAACCTAACCACTCCAATCCTTCAAAATCCACTGCAAGTTTTGTTGGAATCCGTTGTAGTGAACACTGCACTAGTAAATGGATTATGTTTTATATGGGGTTAGGCATACCACCATAATCAGAGTCCAACAGTTTGGTGTTGAGTTCACCATGTGATGTTTGATTTTGCAAGAGTGAGGAAGGTTCCTAGTCAATCACTCAAGGGGGTAAGGCCAAAAAAAAAAGTCTTCGGTTTCTGGTATGGAGCTTGCCAAAAAGTGGTGCGGCGACGCTGCTTTTTTTTTTTTTTTACCTGATTTTTTTGCTTCAAATGTCGGCTGATGACTGCAAATGGTGCCCGACTAAACTTAGTGTAAATATATGGGAGTCCAGAGAGGCCACATAAAGCTTATTCTCGACCATAACCTAATCTAAAAACATGTTAAAATTGTGCAGCAGCAGGATCCAGTCAAACCAGTGTGCTTGGCGGTTTTCAGACATCATCTTTCATTGAAATTTTTTTTTTCATTTTGCCGACGGCGATGCGCGCGCATACCAGAAACCGGAGCCTTTTTTTTTTGGCCTTAGGGATAATATACTCAACTTTCTGCACACACTGTCCTGCAGTTTCTCGCTCATCCTGACATGTGTACATTGTACATTTTCATGTTGTTTACGTTTCATAACAAACCATCATTAGCCAGTGTGCAATTCCAATAAGCCAGTTTGGTATTTCAACTGCGCATGTGCACAATGATATGGGTCACGGGTCATTCAGGACAATCAAAAATTTCGAGGGCGCATGAACGCGGGCGCACGACGCTTGCGTGTAAATTACCAGTAGAATGGGCGTGCGCGTAACATCACGTAATATCACGTCAGCGATGTTATCCTGAATGGCCTCGGGTCATTGAAATACCGTACTGGATTATTTACATGCAATGTGCCAGCATGCCCCCCCCCCCCCCAAAAAGCAAAACACTCCCACGTCTCCAAGTGAAACAAAGTCCCTTGAGCAGTTAAAATACCACACATATACCAACACAGACACAAAATACAGTCTGAAAAACAGCCACAACCTATAATTAAAGTCTTTGGTTCGAAAATGACTTTTTGTTTTACTTTGAAATATTTTAGTACAATGTGATCAGCAGTCTGAAAATTTGCTGGGAACCGTTGCAGATATCTTGTTCTGACCATAGAGCTAGCTCTATGTACTGACATGTCTGATAACCTTGGCTTGATAAGAATGTAATTCAAAACACCACATGTGTCAAATGAATTTTTGTGTATACACATGCTCCACATGCACCAAAACAATCCAGGGAAAAATGCTCCTTTGACGTCACTGACGACCCCCCCCCCCCATAAGACTGTAACACAAAACACCTCACTCATGTAATAACTTTCATTTTTGCTCCTCATGCACCAAAACAATAACGGTGTAGTTCGATTGTACAACATTACGAACTGTTCCCACTTAGAATTATCTAACAGGCATTATGATCAACTGGCACAAAATCACTGCAAATGCTGTCTTGCAATAAGATCATTGGCAACAAGGGAATGTCCAGTACTGGGTACCGGGAGAACAGCAAAACATATTATTGGCCCACCTGAGCTTTAACCCTCCAATGGATTTCATCCAAAATCGATCAGGTTGTTTTGGAAATTGTGCATGTACAAACTCTACCCCTTGTTTATTTTAAAGGTTTGTAAACCAACCCCCCCCCCCAAAAAAAATATATATAACAAATTAACAAAAAACTATTAAAAAAACAACAAATTTTTTTGTTGTTTGTTGTAAATTATCAAGACGAGACTAAACAGGAAAACAGAAAGATTTCCATATACGAAGTTCACTCAACACCCTGTGTACAAATCCTATGAGATTGGACTGAACATTTTTAAGTGTTTTCTAAGAAAATGATTGTATTTTCTCACTGCTCAAATTGACTTTGATGACATAAAATTGCTATCTGGGGGCTTGTTAGTCAATACAGAGGAAAATTAGTGAACTTCGTATATGGAAATCTTTCCAGGAAAACTTACGCAGTCACTCGCTTGTTATCGAAGGCTCTATGTATGAGACAAAACAAAAAGAGAGAAGACATTTTGAAATATCGATGGGGGAAAACAAATGAGAATAACAACATCATCCCAAGGGCGGGTTGGGGGGGGGGGAAATATCAACGTCTCCTGCCTTGCTCTCTAAGTCCTCAGTATGAGATGTAGGATTTTGGAGCACTGGGGATGACACTTAATGGGATGATGGGTGCACACACGAACCCATTAACAGTCTCTGTGGGGCAGGGCTCCTGTAGGCAAATTGGATGTTCTTTAAAAAAAACCACAGCTTGCGCTTTGAAGAAATGCTGGTAACTGGAGATAGGTATGACTGTAAACATTACTTACTACATGTATGTAAACATTATGCATAAAGTGTTTTGGCTTTACATATTTGTCATATGTCACAGTTGTTTTGATTTCTGTGAAAACAAAAACCTACTTTTGGGATGGGACAAATGTTAAAATTGCTATGTACATGCGCATATGAACTCCCATAGCTTTCCCACCCTCAAAAGCAAAGCTTTGTGATTTATCATTCATGTCCCCTTTGTAAAAACTGTTTGTCAGCGCAAACTATTTTTGAGACATTTGCTTTATTTGTAGACCAACTTGATGTAGTTTTAGCCAATTGTTGGACGTGAGATCAGCCGTGTAGCCAGGTTTCTCACCAGGGGGAGGAGCTGGATGTTAAGAGGGGGGGGGGGGGAGCAATTTCTGTTAAACCCTTTAACCATGGTCCCTTATAGGACTAACAAATTTCCAGTGGGGGGGGGGGGGGGGGGGGGGGGGGGGGGGAGGTGGGACAGCTATGCTGCTGCCAACGACCAGTAGCGTTCTATTAATACATCACACTGATCCTTTTTACAATATAGGAGATTGGCAATTCAGTTTGCACAAGGACATAACGGGACTCAAGGAGCCCTTTTTAAACTCTCATCCTTGTTATTATTCTCCATATAGTACAGGGAATTGCATCTTCATGAAAACTAAAGCTTTCAATTTGGAAAACACATTCCGATCAGACTATAAATAGCGATTGCAATCACGTCCGCTGTCCCCCCCCCCCCCTCCTACCTCATCATTTAGCAGAAATCAATTTACATGAAATTGAAGTTTTTATAATTTTCTCATTACTATTTTCAAGGCTTCTCCAATTTTATCCACGTGGCCAAGAATTTAGTGTGCACGTTGGATTTTTTTCCCATTTTAAAGGCTGAACACAATTATTATAATGCAAGCTGAAAAGATGATGGATGTTGAATTTTACTGTCTTTTTTTTTGCAAGAATGTTGCAACCTGACACCACTTCAGCGATTGTGTACAAAGTCTATGGAGAGTCTAGCCCAGGTTGGACTCCGTTGTACGCAACAGAGTCCAGGGTATGAACTTCTGCTGCAATAGCGAAAACAAATTCTCAAATATTTTTTTCATATTTTTACCTGATGGAGGAAGCTGAAATTTTGTTTACATATTCCTCGTGTTCAGAATTATGCATTCGCTGGTTTCAGAAAAGGCAAATATGTCCGCGGGCGACGTGTTTACCGAAAATAAACTGCAGATCCACGCTTTCGTTGAAAACATTTTCAGTACGAACTCCCCACGTGAAGACTTACACGCGCGCGTGCACACACCCCGCACGCGGCCGCATACGGCATGCATGTGAAGTCTTCACGCCGACAATTCGTACTGAAAATGTTTTCAACAAAAGCTTGGATCTTTTGCGGATAATTTTCGGTGAACACTTCACCCGCGGACATATTTGCCTTTTCTAAACCCAGCGTATGCATTATTCTGGACACAAGGAATATGTAAACAAAATTTCAGCTTCCACCATCAGGTGAAAATATGAACAAAATGTTTTAGAATTTTTTTCGCTATGGTAGTAGATTTAATACCCTGAACGGCAGTCGTAATGCAATGAAGACGTCGTCCAACCTGGGCTATGGAGAGTCAAGATTTTAAGTATTTCCTTACAAAATTGGAAATGATTCAGTCCCAGATTCATGTCTTATCACCATTTTTGCAATGACTGACCTTCATAGAGATGATATGTGACAAAAAAAGCAGCGTCAGGTTGCAACATTCTTTCCTTTATTTTTTATATTTTTAAAAAATTTTCTTCAGAATTTTCCTACAGTTTTGATGCAACTGAATAGGATGAGTGTATATAATCTGCAAAACTGCAAAAACTACAAGAAAGTCTGCAAAACTACCAGAAACAAAAAGGCTGAGAAGGTGACAGATGCTTATTCACAGTGTCGTCTCTTTTTTAGTATTTTTTTGTTTATTTACAATTTTCTCCTGAAGGTGTTCTTATTCAATCCAACTGAGTAGGACTATTTGAAAGGCTTGTCAACTTACGTCCTGGGAAAGGGGATTGGCAGAAGCATTCCTGACAGTTGGGGCAGCCAGTCCACAAATCCAGCCCTGAATAAAGATACAAACGAGACGTGTGTAGAAAACATTAACAATCACTCAATTTAGACCAAAAAAGACATGAAGTACTTTCACACCAAGGTCATCATCGGAGAGTCAGGTTGGCATAGCAGTACCTTCCTGGCCTTCCTTTGCCGTGACCCAGGTTCGATTCCCACCTGGGGCAATATGGGGATTGGGTTTTCAGTCCCTGTCTGATTCCGTGGGTTTTCCTGAGGATATCATTTCTGGGGTTTTCCTCAACACCTCTAAAACTGCAATTTCTTCCATGTCTTCTCATTGTCTTCTCTCTATAGGTTTCTTCAGGCTTGCGAGCTACAGTGCCTAGGGCGCGCATTTGAGGAATCCTTGGTTTCATTACCAGAAAAGATGATGAAACCATGGAGGTAGAAAGCCTGAAGAAACCCACAGAGAGAAGACAATGAGAAGAATTTGTGGTTTAAGGGGTGGGAGGGAAAACCCCAGAAATGATATTCTAGGGAAAACCCACGGAATCAGACATACTTTAGAAGGATCTAATTGGTTGCATGTTTTGTCTGCTTTGTTTGCCCTGTATCCTGTGACTGGTTGAAGTATACAAACTTGGAAATCTCTCAAGAGATTCAGCTCAATTTAGAAAAAAAAATGAAAACCGCGCCTGATCAAAATTTAAAAAGGGGAATACAAAAGAAAAGAGGTGGATGACAGAGGTGGATGTTTGATAAAAAAAATAAAAGGGAAATGAAGGAAATCTGAGTTGATTCCAGGCTATATGCATCTGTTCTTGAGAAGATAACTAGACGTATATTTCTGCGATCTCGTACGGATCACAACTCCCCCCCCCCCAACTTCTTCCCTCAAGCAGCAAACACAGTCAAGATTCTGCAGGCACTCCGCAAACACCCGGCAAGTATCTCCGATAGCGGGCATCCAATTGATCGGTTTGGACATGAATTAAACATGAATTACCGACAGCGCCCGCAAAATCCCGGTTGACATTGATACAGGGGGCCCCGCTCAAGTGTCTGCGGAATTAATGCATGTACATTACCGCCTGCTGGGCCCATTTGCTGCCAAATCCGGTCAGACGGGGTAGCTTAGACTGGATAAAGGTTAGCTTAAGACTTGAACCGAATCATTTCAATATACAGCCCAATTAAATGTGATGCATTTTGGCAAAACGAGACCGAACTGGGCACAGGCTGCATTGGAGAAATATGCAAAAACAAACGAATGAGTGCTATTTTTTGGTTTTCAGATTGACTGATATTTGTAACCTTTGATATATATATTTTAAGGAAATAGTATAAAAATTATGGAATAAAATTGTTTTTAAGGAAAACAATTGGCACTTTCATTTTCACGACTACGAAAACTTTAAAGGGTTTTTTATCAGTACTTTACTTTTTGACATGTTGATAAATGCGAACTTTAAAACAGCCATAACTTGTCAATGAATTGTCCGATAAGCCTCTGTACTAATGACGTCACACTTTGCTTAAGTGTGTGCTTTCCTATGGTGCTCAGTGGACCGTTGATCCCCACTGGCTCCATAAGGAAAGTGCACATGTAAACAAAGTGTGACGTCATTAGTACAGAGGCTTATTGAAATGCAACAAACAGTTTTGCAAGAAGAATTGTCTTCTCTTTCCTAATACCCGCAAACCCTCATCTCGGCTCTACCCAGTTCTCATTTTACCAGAATGCCTAACAAATGGACCAGAGAATCCTGCTTAAACTGGGAATATTTTGCTTAGCCAGTTTTCATATAACGTTGAATGAAGTTTTGGCTGGTACCTTGTTTCTGCTAAGCAGGTCTTTATCTGTGGCTAAGCAAATCTGAGGGTTCAAGTAGCTCAATGAAATTGGCCTCAGGATAATGGCTTAAAATCAATTATCCCACGACCTTTAAATTGTGGTAATCCCCAGTCATGCAACAAAGACCCCCCCCCCCCCAAAAGGACATGGTTCATAGAAAACGTACAGTCCGGACTGAAACTATTCCAAACATCCTGTGAAACTATTCAGAGAGGCATCCTGTCCCTGGAGAAACACAGGAAATCAGACCAAATAATTCAATTTCCAATGAACCTCTGGCCAAGAAATTGTTGGAAATTTCAGAGAAAATCTGCTATTAATAACACCCCCCCCCCAAAAAAAAACCCCCACAATTTCAAGGACCTATTATATGAAATTTGCACTGGCACATACTTTGGGCAAATATTTAGACTCCAAACTGAATGAATATAAGGAGGGCAAAGGATATTATCCAATACTTTTTACTCCTTGAAGCAAATTCGGGCAGTATCTCTTCGATAGTACTTCTACACTGAATTTGACAACCTACATCCAAAAGGCATTAGCACCGGTCAATCTGTACACGTCTCTCCTGTATCTGGTTTCAACTGGAATGGCCACTGATCCTGCAACCACGTCAATTGGGATTTAAGGACTGTCGGTGCCATTATTCTGTACATCCTTCACGGCCGCTGGTACCCACTATATCATCCCACACAACAAATCTGCTCTGTGATTCCTCATCATCATGCGAGACAAAGACCCTACCGCTACAAGCTTGCATTACGAACCGGCTACACGTGTGACGGGTACCAGCCAAATCTACCGATCTTGCCCTTCACGGACATTGCAAGTCGGGAGGTTGGACCAAACACGGCTACTGCCGCTTCCCTTAAAGTACTTCATTTTTGTTATCGATGGTCGTCTGCTGTTTTTAAGTGACACCTCAGGGCCCAGGCCCAAGATGTCCTCTCTGGGCATATATGGCCCCCTACACTCCATAGTTCCACTTACAAGTCAATTTTCTAAAAAGATCAACTCGAATCAAATCACGGCCACTGCTTCTTTTTTATGTCCCCCGCAGGGCCCCCTGATTGCCGATAATAAATTACGCACCGTAAAAATAAACAAAAGACATGTTATTTTATGCTGAATTTCCAGTGGGACAATAAGAGAAAATCACCGGCAGTCATCAACTACAGAAAGAAAAAAAATAAGATCGGAAAAAAATCCAACGCAAGGCAGACTGATCTTTCAATTATTAAAAAAAGGGAATGCAGATCACCACAAACAGTCTGCAGAATAGAGAAACTGTTCATCATTCTCTCCGGTATTTTTTTGTAAACATTGACACATGCTGTTCCGAACAATTACTGTATAACTCTCAGTGAGTGTTCATGTACACATGCATGTATGCATATACATGTAGTCACCAGTATGTTATAGGAAGTATGCTCTTCAGTTTAATAATTGTCAACAAGATCGATATTTCAGGCATTTGGTTTTTTTTCCGGACGGACAAACATCAAGTCCCACAAGAGTGCAGCAAAGAAGAAAAAAAAAGTGGCTGACATTTCGCATACATAATTTGTTTTCCTGTCAGCATGTACATGTAAACCCATATTGAGCAATCCGACATTAGCATTAAATCCCAGCGTTGTTCGGCATATACACACACCCCGGGTCCTGCTGCGCGCCGTGCATACTCACAACGACCGACACACACACACACGCAACTCAAAGTCCACATTGGAGAAAAAAAAAAAAAAAAAAAAGGAAACACGATACAAAGCAGAGTAGGAATAATTTGACATCCGATCCTTTCGGTCCAATATTCGCAACGGTGCGGGAAATAACGGCACAAGGTAGAGTGGGCGCATATTTGGCGCCCGGTTAATTGCGACCCGTGCTGCGCGCATCCAATACGAGTAATACGACTAGCAAAATTATCACTTTGCGCATGTCATCTGGGAAACAATGACATCACAACTAATGGACTTTTCAATCTCTAATGTCTGGCATGCACTGGCAAAATATGATGTCTGGGGTTTTTTTGCAATTGGCACTTTTTTTTTTTTTTCAAGCGGGGTATTATTGAAAAATCCCCCATGAATCCTCACGGAGATTTTTGTCTCCATCAGGCAGTTAAAAATAGAATGTTGTATATTATTTGTAAGTGCAGCATAATGAATGTCAGTTTTTGAGTCCCGCTGCTCAAAATAGAAGCCAAACTTGTTGACTGATTCAAATAAAGGAATATTGTTTCTTATATTTTCAAAACCATTATCGTTCATGTTTTACCTCGTTACTCAAGTCTGATACTGCCCATTTTTTTTTCTCTGTGCCATCATATAACATAAAGATATCAGGACAGCAATAACACTCCGGTATTATTTCATGAAACAAACAAGATCAATTTTAGCAGTGAGGACAAAGGAATTAAAAAAAAAATCATAATCATCAAGCTTTATACATTCACCGTGTTTTATAAGTGCACTTTTATTTTTTAAGACTCACTACGATAAAATTGCAAAAATTATGCACATCTGTCACATAATACATGTCCCGGTAATTGGCACTGCAGTTTCCTATTTATTTTGTTAGTATCTGTCAGGCAACACATGAGAACATGTACATGAAACCCATATGGGCCAAGCCCAATGTTCACCCTCCTATGAAAACATGCATTCTGGGCCACGCTATTACTTTGGTCCTTAATGTAGGTGAAGTAGTCTTACATTTCACTTGTAAATCATGTCCAGTGACGCACCACTCCAAACTCATTAGCCAGATCTAGAACAATTATCTAAAAAGCTTGTCAAGTCCACAGAGACTCCCCTCCCCCTCTCCAACAACAAAGACAAAGAAGAAAAAAACGATGTAAACAGAGCAAGAACCGAAGATAATTGAAGTGATTTCATCACCGGCCTGTGACAGCGCCCGTCATTGGTTGCTTTGTTCTCCTCTCCAGTCAGGGAGCAACGGTTGCCATGGTAATTATTTTCATTTCATCATCTCCCTGGAGGTTTGGCGGGATGCGGGGAGTAGGCTGGGAGGCCTGTGATTGTTGTGCTCTTATCAAAATGCACTCACAAGATGGCGAGATACATGTACGCCCACAATTACTTGTTGGGATGCGAAATTGCGAAAGTGTTTTCTCCGATTCGTTGCTGTTGGTGGTGTTTGTACATGTACATTACGACTAAAAATTTACACAATAAAATATTTTCAAGGAAAATATTCCACACACCATTTTGAAATTTTCCATTCAACTTGTCTCTCTCTCTTGAAAGAACAACTCTCCAGCCTTTGTGATGTGGATAAACATCATTGTAGGGACACTGTTTATTTCAAATGGTCGAAATGATTGTTTAATCAATTTCAATTCTTTCCACTGAAATAAACTCAAGCTCAAGGCCCATAAACGTCAAATTGTCACAAAACAAAGCATTGATTCCAGGTTGTAATTTTCCTAAAAAGTGAGATGAGGAAAACACAATGCCTTTTTGTGAGAAAAAAAAATTACCTTGAAGCCAAAAAATCATTAAAATTCAATTATGTGCCCACAGAACATGCACGAGCGGACATCAGTCAAATGCCATGGTAAACTCAACGCAGAATCCATCATCTTCTTACTAGTTGCTGTTTTGTGCCAAGGGATACATGTTTTTGTGTGGGAATATCTTTCAAAAGGCCTGGGCCCAATTTCAATCCAATTCTTTACATGCATCTATTTCTTGCAGTCTTAAAGAGGTTGTGGAATGCTCGAAGACATTTCCGTCATTTTTCGGGTATATGTAGCCTAAGGTGTGATGAAATAAAAATGACTATTGTGTCTGTCATGAAATTAGTACAAAAGGAACTTTTGAGAGCTGTTTTTCAGGTCCTGTTTCGACCCCAACGTGCAATTTGTGTAAAAGTCGTCGTTGGCGGCAGCAAACAAAGCATAGTAAATCGTGACGTAATAAACAGGACTCCCGATGCAGCGTAGTATAAACGAGTCCTGTTTATTACGTCACGATTTTTCTCATTTTACGAAGAACCCAACGACTGTTGATTTCAATTATGCGCTCACCGACCAACAAATTACTCGATGAATTTCAGTTTTATAAACATATAAATGCACATTACAAAAGAATGGGACTTTGTCATTATGATATACGGGTTTACTCTACAATAAAAATATATAAAACACAAAACGACTTTCAGCATTCCACAACCTCTTTAATCCTCCTATTTTTAATAAGGAGATTGGCTAGGGCTATTATTATCAGCGACCAGTCCCCTAATCGGTTTTAAAGCCAGACGTCTAATCAGACGGAATTATAGTCTGGTAGAGCAGTTTTACTAACCACACTTTAATTCCCATTTATGTTTTGGTCAAAATCTTAAAAAACAAAAAAAAAAAAAAAACCGATAAAATTGACAACATTCTGACGATGTTTTGTTCAACAAATTTACTTCTGACGATGTTTTGTTCAGCATTTTTACTCCATGTTCAGGCCGCTACTATTGTGCGCGGCAAGCGCGCACAGTTTGTCAACATCTTATTCTCCTTAAATGGATACATACCGGCATCAGTGGTTCTCAACCACCCGGTTGTATAGTAGGACGCGAGGCGCGTGCTGTGCGCATGTGGTGCATATTTTCAATTTGTCTACATTTGACAAAGTTAGGCTTACAGTTTTTACATGTATGGGGAAAAAGTATGTTATCAGCAGAAAAAAAACAGAGGCCAATTTGACCATGCTACTTAGCACACAAACCTAGCGCAGGAAGAAATTATGCTTTAAAAGAAAAGAAGAAAAAAGGTCCCCATGCAAAAAGCACTGTCAGTGACTGAACAATCATAACACAATTGCCATGTAGGCTTCAAAACAAAACAAATTCAACTTCTACTGTGAAGCAAAACCTCAGCTTGTCAACAATGATAAGCATTCCTTGTATGTAGGACATGTATGTCAGTATTTACATTTCTACACTGGGATAACTTGCACATTTGAAAAACAAAACAAAACACATTTTTGGGTCCAATTTTGCACTAAACAATTGTCAATGTGACTTATGTGATTTTCAAACAGGGAAGTGATACGATATTTCAAACTGGCTGTTGTGTGGCTTGTTTCTTTTTTCTGCCGATCCAGTTGTTTTTACTGGGAAGCCTTTTGTTTCAAAGGAAATGTTGTGTTATTAACAGGAAATCAAAACGATACAAACAGGGATCAAGACCTGGGGAACAAAGGACGGTTCTCATTGTCAATGCAACTGCGTCAGGAAAACTCAGAGGTATTGGTACACGTATGTGTCATGATCGGCACAAAGGACAAAGAGAAAGAGAGCCTGCTGGTTTTATCATCTCTAAATTTAAGATAGTCTTGTTAAAGGGAATATACAACATAATTTGCTTTTGCTGTAATTTTCAGAAACGGATGGATTATGGGGGTTAGTACCGGTATTTTATAGCAAATATTGTTTTTGTATAGCAAGTTTCGTGTTCGTAGATGCTGGAAAAACCAACACAAATAATCATGTTCTTGTAGTCATTGGATCACATCAACTGAAAGTCTTCAAATCCTTGGCCAGTGCAAATAATTGCCAATCAGTTGTTGTCAAACTCGCTGATTGCAAGGCCTACCTTTGACAGTCAAACATAATCACCTTACATGTACAGCACAGGCATACAAACCCCAAATAATGACGCCACAAATATAAAAAAAACCACCAAAATTCTGACATCAGTCAACCTAATTATGGAATGCGATGTGAGACAATCCACTTTTGTTGGATACTACGTGCGAGACCTTCTTATCTCGGACACCTAGGCACAAGGACTTTTTCCGCATTAAAGAGAAAGACCTTAGTCGAATTAGAAAACGCTGTATCCAGGAGGGATCTGAGGGCCAGATCTACGACAGGAAATAGCATTGAGGAGGCGTTTTTGTTTGATTGTAAACGGGCCGGCAATTGTTTCTGTGTTGTCACATTATATCTTAAGTCGTTTATCCCTGTGCTTTCACCCTCCAAGAAATCGTATGATGTCATGTACATATATAACTCATCTCCTGCAATGCATGCTGGTCTTACACGTACTTGACAGGAGAAGAAATACGGACAGACCAAGTGGAGCAGAACAGAGAGTCGTAACAATTTAATGAATTCTTTTCATCGGGGACTTGAAAACATTTTAGATGCCACTGTGCGGTTCAAGCTTGTCATCTACGGTCTGTACTACAGATAATTGAATGGCTTCTGTGATACTGAAAAGGTTTATGATGCGGTGATGAAATGTTGCAGACGAAGTAATTTCACTTATGATACAAGTACTTTTTGTTATAGTTAAATCGGACATGCTCTATACTCTATGCGTATGTGTAACATTAGCATGACAAGTTAGAAATAATGAGATTTAAGTGAACAAAATGAGGCATTTGAAGTAAATGATGTTATAACAGGTCTGCAAGGCTCTGCTGATTTGTGCTACATGCAGTGTCTGGAACCATTCCAAAATCTTGTGACAGGGCCGCTATATTTTATCTTAAAATTCTCCTGCTTTTAATGTTCTTTTTTTTTTACAGTGCAGCATTTGGCTACATGTGAATCAACCAGCCTACATTCTGAGAAAAGTAGTGACATTATGATAGTCAACACAACACTTCCTGACACCCTGGAGCAGAGTTACTCGCTCTGTCGTTATATGAATTTGGCAAGGGTTCAGTCATTTAAACAAGGAAGTTTGGTTGAGCTGTTGGCCTGTCTTTCCCAACAAACTGAGGAACAGGTGTGGGGGGAGGGGCATTTGTGGGGGTGGGGCATCTTTGGGGATGAGACCTCTAGATCTAAGAGGACTTACGTCATGGTTAGGATCGTGACAAAGCACATCATGGTGTCTTCATCTTGAAGGATTGCATCGTCGCCGGAGCCGTCGCTGTCCTCTATGGTGATATCAGGCTGTACCCTGCAACTATACGCAACGGGGAATAAACACCGTATTCAAAACTGATTTCTGTGAATGTGAACTAGAAGTAAAACAAGGCAATCATGACACTGTACAAGTACAATTGAGAAGAATACTCTGTATTTATGCAAAAACAACAACAACAAACATTAGAATTCTATCTGCAACTTTATGCATGAAGGAAGAACACAACATTACAAGACCGCATTTCAAAACACAAACAAAAAACTAAAATCAAAGAGTAAAATAGACATGTAAAATCAACACTGTCTTTGCAACTAAATAACAAATAAACAACTACACATGAACCACAAAAATGCACTCTGCAACAACTCATAAACTGTACAACAAAACCAAAACTAAATATACAAGACAGCACTTTAACAATGCCACACAAAAAAGTGAAACACTATCTTCAAAATGCAAACTATCTTGCAACACTACATGGCATATATGCGGTGCATGGCTTCTGACTAGTGCCTCTTGAACAAAGACATTGACTAAAATTGAAATCCACCAACAAAGGGCTGGATAGCTCAGTCGGTAGAGCACCGGAACAGTAATCCAGGGGTCGCAGGTTCAAACCCCGCTCCAGTCAATTTCTTTGTTCAACCTTAAAATAATTCTAATACACCTAGTCAGTTTTCCTATGTGGTTTCTTTGACAAACATTCAAAAAATGATTTATATTTTTGCCATTCAGGTTGAATTGTTACAATTAAAAAAAATACATGTGACATTCAACAATAAAGAAAATTAAGCCTGGGTCCCACTTAGGCACCAGACTACAGACCAGGTTTTATCCACATACCCATTACACTCCTGGAAATAGATGGCGATGGATGCCAGACAAATGGCGACCATGTTGGGGAGCACACGGGGATGGGGACATTCACTGGTTGGTCCGTGCATGCTGAAAAGAGAAAAGTCAACAAGAAAAATGATATGCCGAGTAAATATTTTTGTAAGTTGTCATATCTAAGGCAGCAGCCGATTTCATGAAACTTTACACAATGGCGCAATTCCGCTCGCGCCACAATTGACTGCATACATTGCGCAAAAATTCACGTTGCGCAACGTTTCAGTTATGACAATTTCACAAAAGTATCATAGTGCATAAGTCCGCGACAATCATTTTAGGTGGCGTAATTATTTTAGACGGCGTAGGATGTGGCGTAGCGACTGAAAATTACCTATTTTACTAGGAAATCGTGATCATCATGGAGCCTGTTATTGCACAACTTATCAAGGTTGATACAAGACACTCACAGCTTTGTGTTTGAAATAAATAATTTGCTATTTCACTGGTGACAGAATTTCTAGAGTTGCCGCACGATGCTGAAAAAAAAGTCGGATGAAACTATTATCAAAATGGCGGGCAGAGATGATTCAACGACCGTTTCACGAATGGACAAAACACAAACAGCCATCGTAAATGTTGGTATTATCCTCATCCAGGATGTTCAGATTATTTATAACGTTGTGCAGCTACGCCAAGTTTTGTGAAATGGATCGTAAGTTTATTGCGCAGCTGCGCAATAAATTTGTTGCGCTAGTCCTACGCACGGCGTAAGCTATGCACTGTTTGGTGAAATCAGCTGCAGGGAAGTAAGTTGACACCAAAAGGTTTTTTTTCCTGAAATTTGAGGCATAAAGGGAAAGTATACACACAGGGCGAGTCCAAAAAAAGGAAACCCAAATGGCAGGACCATTGTTTTAGTGAAGTTCTGCATGTAGCACTTTCAAAATCTAGGATATGAAAGCCCAATTAATAAGCCTTCTTTTAGTAGAAGAACCATTAAAATCACTCATGTACTTTTCAAGGTATGGAATTGTAAACACAACCATTGTTTTAAAGTTCTGTTCACGGATCACAAATAAGTGTTCTTTCAGCAAAACAAGAAAACAATTCACATAGGGATGCACGTGAATTGTTATCGTCTTGCTGAACACTGACCTTTTTTTTGATCTGTGGAAAGAACTTTAAAACTGTGTTTGTGTTTAAAATCCTGTAACTTGAAAAGTACATGAGTGATTTGAATGATTCCTGCACTAAAAGAAAGCTTATTAATTGGGCTTTTATATCCTAGATTTTGGAAGTGCTACATGCAGAACTTCATTACAAAAATGGTCCTGCCATTTGGGTTTCCTTTTACTCACTCTGTATATCATTTACAAATTGAAAAAGCCTGTAATCAGGCAATTGCACAGAAGGACTCAAATCTCAGTAAGACAAATCCATTTCAAGCAAATTGCTTACTAATTTCTTCTGATCAATACTTCATGACAATACTGTGTTACTTTGTTTTGGGGAATGTTGTTTTTGTAGACACAACACTGCTGAATGTAAGCTCGTAATTTAGGATTAAGGTAACATTTGTTATTATCAGAGTGGATACTAACGTGTTGACAAACGACTGCAATGCCTGTTCCTTGTCATTCTTACTCTGGAGGGCCAGTATGAAATCCCGCACAAAGCCCTGGAGTCTTGGGTTCTTGCCAAAATCCTGCCGAGAGACACATAAATCATCCACATTCAATTAACTCTGTAAATGTTAGAGATACATTTATGCATTCATTTACATCCTATATAAAAAGATCCTATGTCTGTCTGTCTGTCTGTCACTGTGTCGGGCCGTCTGTCTGTCTCTCTGTCTGTCTGTCTGACGTCTATGGGTCACATTTTTTTGGAAAAAGGCCTAAAGAGTGTACGCAAGCACAAACTGCAATGGTCAACGGATAGACTTGGTTATTGTATGCAGGTCCTTTAATGGTATATGCTCCAATTTCACTGTCCTCTGAATCAACGGTTGGCACATGAAAGAAAACTGATTAAATTGTTTTGTTTTGCTTTTTGGGGGGCAATTTCGACTCTCTATCTCCCCGTTGAAAAATGTCCATCAAGCATCTTTGATTTTGTCCTCTCCTTGAGACTGTAGGTATTGTTTGATTGATGGTTTCATTGATTTTGGCAAAGGGTAGACAATGTTTGCTTCTTCAGACCGCGTGCTACATGCTCCCCTTGAAAAGCAATCATGGTTTCAGGAGAGCTAGCTTGGTGTACGTGACATACTTACTATTTAAAATGACATTTGATACATTAGTTTAATAATAAAAGGAAAAAATGCATTCGAGGAGTGTATAAATGTAGGTCATGTGTGAAGGGGATTATTTTTTTTGTACCATATTGTGCTTGAGGATCCGATGAATGACGGGCATGAACATCTCCAGAACCACGATAGAGCGGGGCGAGTTGCGGCAGTGTTTGCTGAAGAACGCGCATATCTCGGGCGAAGGTTGGTTGTTCTCCAGCAAGGGGGCCACGGCCGCAATGATGCTATCTTGGGCAACGCTGTTGAGGACATCTCGATTCTGTCGATTGATGGGAGATAACAGTTAACAAATTGTTTCTTGTAATTAAATTCAAGCAAACTTCATCATCAATCATATGGGTAATCTTGCAAGTTTCCTGAATTCTTTAAATCTTTAGGCCTACTTGGCGTGGAAACCACTTGGACGTTTTTTGTACTTAAACTTTCAAGAGAAATCAAGCCTTTTTGTAAAGTACAGTAATAATAGTGCCTCTGCCGTATGGGCTCTGTGCGCCAACAAAAGAGGGCGCTTTTTACCACTTTTGAGAGTCCGTGGGCGGGACACACAGCGTGTGCGTACTGTACTGTACTGTACTGGTTCGCGCACGAAGTTCACACGACGACTTCCTGAATGTGCCAAATTATTAGCCACAGCGTCTTCGCGTGACCATCAGGCGTCGTAGGCACGCGAATACATTCGAATTTAACTTGCGATGGTCTCCCAGACTAATCCCCACCCCAACAACTTTAGATCATTCGAAATACGCAGCGGATGGACCGGGAACCAGTCTACATGTAGGTCTCCCCCAACTCTCCTTTTTTGGCCGTTGAAGGGGTACTTGTGCACGGAGCCCTGCAAATCCGGCAAAATCTCCAGGTTAAGTTTGAGGGATCTGGAATGTTTGTTTTTTTAGGGTTTTATTTCATTTTTCTTATCTCGTTTACGTGCACTAGGGTCACGGTGACCTACTTCTGCTTTGCCAGAAGTGTCTTGTGAAACCACCCGTTGAGACCAGTAGTACCAGTAGTGCAAATCGCATTGCTCTAGCATCTGTCGCACGGTGGGCGGCAGTACAAACCCACTCACAAAGACTAGACTCTATCATGTGTGAAAATATGAAACTGATGCCTTTAGCAGATCTGTACTGTTTACAACCGGTCCCCCGCAATCCAGCATGTTGGCATGTTAATTTCGTACACGCAATATTAGCATACTGGCAACTGATATTCACCACACATCCACTTCCATGTGTAAGCAAAGTGTGACCTCTTCCTCTGCACGTGACCTCTCATTGACGTCATTTCTGCCTTTGGCCACAAGATGCTTGGGTTATTATTGCGTACCAACATGTACCATTTATATGTATGTCAACAACTTGGGTTCAACATGAATAGTGGACAGTTTGTATCTCTCTATTGCTTGTACACTAATTGAGGCAGTATACATGGTATACATGTGTAATAGCATGTACTGTGTTGTGTGATGTTAAAAATATGCATACTGTACGTCATCCAAAAAGTGTACATATTGTTTAAGATTAATTTTAACGTAAATGTTTAATCATGTATACGTGCTATAACAAAATGTGAGCATAATGCGAAGTTAGTGAGAAAATTCTGAATATTATAGTCATACGGTGCGTAATGCAGAAAAAATGTGTTATTTTATAGTTACTGCAAACCAAGCCATATGCTTTTTAGGATTTCTATATAGGCATGTTGATAAAGTCTATAAATTATTAGTCATTTTTAAAAGTTTTTGTTTTGTTACACATGTATTTTGACAGGAAGAAGAGACATGTACACGTACTTAGTTATACAATGTATGTGATAGGGTTGTATCTTTGATGCTACAAGCATGGCATTTGGCACACAGTCAGAGTATGTCATGACCAAGATATTTGGCTATAAGGCCATCGCAGATTTGTCCTTTGATAAAAATATAGGTAGAATAACAAGCAATCGCAGCCATTTTGAAAATTGCTTGTTATTAAACCTATATTTTTTTCAAAGGACAAATATGCGATGGCCCTATAGCCAAATATCTTTCCCATGACATACACTGTATTCTGACTGTGTGCCAAGTTTCATGCTTCCATCATCAAAGGTACAATTCCCCCAAATATTCCCCGTATCTAGCCCAGTAATGTACATGTACGTGACAAACAAGATGTACCGAGTACATGTTTTTTATTTAACTCATTCTGGGGCGGATGTAGACAGGATCAAGTTTTATTTCTACAGAAAACTTAGCCCAACATGAAACATCTCCAGGGGTAAACATATCCTTTCTCACTTATTTTCATGGTTTTATTAAGTTCAGAGCTAAATGCTTAAAAGTAGAGAATATTTTGTATAAAAAAATTTCAACATCCCCTATCTCAATTTTGAAAAAAAAAAATCGACCACAGAGGTTCTATGAGAAAATAACAGTTGAACACTGCCGAACAGTATAAGAAATATGACAATAAAATAAATATGGATATAAGTAAGAAAGGATATCAGTTTACCCATACATGTATGTTACCTTTTGGGTAAGATTACTGTACAAGCACCCACATTCTCATCAACATTTTTTTCTCTTGTTTTCTGGCATATCTATGAGAAAATCTCCTTTGAGAAACTTTCCCCCGGCGATTCTAAAGCAACGTCTCTCAGCTAATCTCCTCTTTTCACCAATTAACTTAATTACTTCCGGTTAGTTGCTCTCTAGTCAATAGAACCAGGTTTTGATTGGAGTCCATCAGTTTCGCTCTCTCTGATAAAGGTACACGTATGTACGTGTGCATGTATGTAGCAATATTTTTTTCTTGATGTTACAAGATAGATCCAAACGTTTCGTGTTCACTGAATCCACCTTATAGTAAAGCCTTCAGACTGTACAAGTAGTTATAATAGTTTTAAAATATATTGTATTTATGATATTTGCTTAACAACTATGCATTAATCAAATAATGTTTTATCCCATTGTATTGAATTTTATTGTATTTGTAATATTGTACATGTTTGTAGTCATTATTTATTGTATGCAGGGCCCCAATGGAAACCAGTTTTTAAACTGTTTGGGCATACCCTGGGTAAATAAATGTAGTGTCATTAATTAATTAATGTGCCGATCTACAGGTAAGCATGCAAACTCTGTATACATACGGAATTCAAGTTTTTTTTTATTTCAAGTCCTGTGTGAACAAAAGGCACAGTTTTCTATTATACATGTACATGTAATTCCCTCAATTTATTGGGACTCATTCCGTTTGAGGAGAAAATGCAACCAGCATTGAGAAAAGCTGACCCAAAAATGCATCATTTCACAAATAACTCCCAATCAATATGCTCACATGTTCATGTACAATTGTATACAATTAAATACATACATGTACGTGTACATCAGTATGAAAATCCATGAATACTGGCATGTTCATGTATAGATCTACATGCACATGAGCTAAGTTCAAGCGCATGCAGATGGTCCATTTTTTTTAACTTTACTCTTTTTTAGGATCAAAATACATACATGTACATGCACATGTGCACGTATATTATTACATGTGTGACTTGTCACATATATATATCCTATTTCTTCAAATGAAAATACATATTACATGTGTATATGCAAGAGTGTTCCTTTTTAATTCCATAGCTACTAAATAAATGTAACATCAAGTTGCAATACCAAAATTAAACCATATGTTGGTGTTGCCAAATTAAAAACTAGCATGTGCACGAACATCAATGCATCTCTGACAACATATGGCAAAGCTACAGGTACCTGCCGAAACTATAGTACATGTATGTAAATGTACTTGTGTGCAAAATATGCCTGGCCATGTCATGTCCGCTTGTACTCTCTCGTTTGTCTAAATTGAAATCGCAATTGGAAAATTGAAGAAGGGATTAAATATTAACAGGAAGCACGACACAAACAATGCTCAGCGATCAAGTCCTGTACCGGCTAGATCCAGGGTTGCCATGGGGCTAGGGCTTGGCTTGGCTAATGAGCCATGCACTTGTACAAATTGATTTTGGGAAAACCGAGGATTTCTTGACTCCCTGTTGTTAACGGTACAAATTATCATTTGCTTTTTATTTATTTTTTATTTTTTCATTGGAAGCAACAAATTGCCAAAAATGTTAAAGGGAATACAACATTTGCTTTTGCTGTACTTTTCAGAAATGGATGGATTGGGGGGGGGGGGGAGAGGGTGGAGTTTATAGCAAATATTGTTACACTAATTCGTTTGAAGGTTTGTGTTCATAGATGATGGAAGCCCAAAACAATTTTTAAGAACCACCTTCAAATATAAGGTTTAGCTCATTAAACTAGTACATGTAGGTCCGTTTTCAGGTAATTACTTATGTCCCTACGTGCCTTTAATAGTCACTGTTGTTAAGGGTAGAAACGGTAATTGGCTTCTCCCCCCCCCCCCTTTTTTTTGTTAGAAGCAACAAATTGCCCGAAATGTTAATTAGGGCGCATGACTATTTTGAGAAATACTTGCTGGTAATACAAAACTAACGTCATTTAATGAATACATTAAATTCTTGTGCTTTTGTCAACTGAATAACATGTAGATATCTTCTGCGTATAATTTCACCAAGTTGCATGCTACATTTTGTACGTAATGACTACCATTACATATTCACATAGCTGCCAACTTTTCAAAATTCCAATTAGTAATCAACCCGCGCGGTCATTTTCAACTTCTCGTTTTATCAAAAGCTTTACCAACATCGAGTACAGGTACATGGTTTACATGTACACATACATGTGCATACCCTTCTTGTTGTGAATAATAATGTACTGTAGGCCAAAAGATAATTTAAATTTTTTTTTTTTTTTTTTTTTTTTTTTTAAATTAATTTTGTTTTAATGTCTGTATTTGTTTGTTGAAGTCAAATAAATAATAACAACAATAACATGTGCGCATATTTTTTTATATTTTTTTTATCGCGAAATTTCACCAGAAGTTTTCGGTCAAAAACGATACTTTACAAGTATTTTTTTTTTTCGTTAGGTAGAAAATGGGAAATTCGTAATGTTTTAGTGGCAAATCGTATTTTCGTAATTTAACAAACAATTCGTAACAATTACGAAAAAATCGTACTAGTTGGCAGCTATGTATTCATGTAGTGCACACAAAGATTGTGCTGGCCTAAAGGTTGAAGACTTATGAATGCTTGAACACAAATATAGATTTCTATTTTCGCACGACTCTTTTAAGAAATATTTGCTGATTCATTTAATCTAACAAAGCAGGTTTTTTTTTTTAGGGTGGTCGAAGGATGTTCTAAAAAAAGGGTTCATCTATTTTTCCTTAAAACCCTACAATTTCAATGTACCATTTTGGAAAGAGAGATGTTAATGATTTAGTGTGAGACTGTCAGAGATATAGATATCTTCTGCGAATAATTTCACCAAGTTGCATCTACATAATGCTACATTTTGTAAATAATGACTACCATTACATATACATGTACATATGTAGTGCACACAAAGATCGTGCTGGACTAAAGGCATACATGTACATGTACATATGTACATTGTATTTCAAGGTTGAAGACTTGTGAATCCTTGAACACAAATATAGATTTGTATTTTCGCACGACTCTTTTAAGAAATATTTGCTGATTCATTTAACCTAACAATGCGGGTGTTTTTTTTTAGGGTGGACGAAGGATGTTCTAAAAAAAAAAGGGTTCATCTATTTTTCCTTAAAACCCAACAATTTCAATGTACCATCTAAATGCAATTGGAAAGAGAGATTTTAATGATTTATTAGTGTGAGACTGTCCGAGATACATGTATGTAGATATCTTCTGCGAATAATTTCACTAAGTTGCATCTACATAATGCTACATTTTGTACATAATGACTACCATTACATATACTGTACATATACATGTAGCGCACACAAAGATTGTGCTGGCCTAAAGGCATACATGTACATTGTACATCAAGGTTGAAGACGTGTGAATGCTTGAACACAAATATAGATTTCTATTTTCGCACGACTCTTTTAAGAAATATTTGCTGATTCATTTAACCTAACAATGCGGGGTTTTTTTTTTGGGTGGATGAAGGATGTTCTAAAAAAAGGGTTCATCTATTTTTTCCCCAAAACCCTACAATTTCAATGTACCATCTACATGTAATTGGAAAGAGAGATTTTAATGATTTATCAGTGTGAGACTCTCAGAGATTGTGTATGAATACATGGACAGCTATAGGGACCGATCTTTTGCGGACATATTATATTTTTCAAACAAAATGCATAGAAGGATGATAATGGTCTTAAGGGGAATACACAACATTTGCTTTTGCTGTAATTTTTTGATGTTTGCAATTGTTGTATAGGCCCTATATTCTCTTTACATTACACGCCTATTTTACTGAATGTGCAAGTCACATTCCATCATTTGCGACGCTATTTCCTTCACGTGGGCAGGGATCTCATTTCAATGTAACTTCATAGCAATTTAATCAACCTTGAAGCTTGTGACCAAATATAAATACAAGTGAATTATTGCTATGACTCCTGTCTACGCATTCGGCGCCATAAACAACAAGGACAAATGACCAGAAATAGCTCCTTGTTTATCTCAAAAGTTCTTATTTTAGTTTCAACTTCAATCAAAACACCCTTGATTTCATCTGTCGTCATTACATGTACCCCGGCTTTACGACCACCCCCGTAATATCATCCGAATGACGACACTTGTCTTCCAATCCAAATGATAATCACTCTGCCTGCGAACACACAAAATTGAAAAGCCAACGCAGTGCGATGCATCTTATCATAAGTACATGCACATTTGACATTGTTTGAACCAGGCTGAAATGTTCTTCATCGCTGGGCTTGTTAGATAGAAGTAAAAACAGGGATGGCACCAAATACCCCGTGAAATGCTATCGTTCCGACTCACTGTAGGTGCTTTTAAATTTTAATCAGGCACACTTTTTTTGCATGCGTTACCATGCTTTTTTTTGTTGCATGTTTCACAAAATGTCTATACAGTAGTGGCTGAGCAAAACCTTCCAGGCAGGTTAGTTGATTAGGCCACAAAAAAAAATAGTTCTGCTTCCGATTACATGGCATTCGAAAATAGGGTAGGTAGGTAGGGAATTTTTTTTCTTTTCGCCAATTTTTTTTGTGTACGATCATATGGAGGCGTCTGCGTGTAGTCAAGGGTAAAAGGTAGAAATCTATGGTTTTGGGTGTCTTTTTTTTCCTCATTTTTCCCATAAAAAAAAATAGGGTAGGGGCTATCAGAATAGGGTGCAAATGTAGGTAGGGAAACCGGAAGCAGAACTATTTTTTGGCCTTATAAATGCACCCTACAATACTTAAGATTTTGAGCAAGTTTGTTGCTTCAAATGCAAAACATACAAAAAAGAGCACATGATCCTATGTTCCTTCAAAGCAACTGATGTTTACCCGTAAGATACTACCGATACACTGTGCAACATGTGCAAAGACCTCATTAAATATCAACACTGTCTTTACATTGCAATTACAAAAAAAAACACAACACGATTCCTATCCAACCGAAATTATGATGAGAAAAAAATGAATGGTAATGTACATGTTAATGCCCATCACGCACGCTGTGTGAGCTCAGCTTTTCATTAAATATTGCTTCCTCCGTCAGATGACAGGAGACGTGTTGAATATATGGGCTACCTACTTCACATCGGACATGACTGTGGTGATTTGACTAATGATGATGCATGAAGGAGCAGTGTGGATGCAGGGAGATGGGGATCGCAAGAATAGGAAGGCCCTGGATGATATTTTATGCTAATCACTCTGACATTAAAACCATCAGGAATCGGTTCAAGCCAAAAAAAGCATTCACATGGGGTTCGTTGTGTAACTTATTTTTTTTTAATGAAATAGATTCTGACATGCATTGTAATGGCATTAAACATTGTGAACAGTACAAGCTACATGTGATGTGGTCTAATGGCAAAAATGATCAGAAATATTCAACAGGTAATTTCTACGCAAACACATATAATTTGAGTTCAAATGTCGGCATCAGAAATTGCAGTGAGCTAGAGACAAAACGTTTTCCGGTTACCAAATTTGTCTGAATAAAAATTGATGAGCTGAGGTGAATTTTGTTCTATTGTGTTTGTTCTTTAAATTCCAATGAGATACAATGTACGGTACTTTTCAATTTTTTTATGTGGCTTAGAACATTAGTATGTTCAATCACAAATTTAAAATTATTCATCAGAGAAGACTGGCATTAATTTGTAAATAACATTATTTTCACAGCTTTCATTTCTATTCCCAAGTTCCAAAAATGAAAATGTTTACCTCGCTTTCAATTCAACATGGCCGACTCGTGAATAAAGCCTATGGCAGGCCTACGCTGTGCCATACTAGAGCTATTCTTTGCAGGTTTTGAAGTGTACAGCATTAACACAAAGATCCCTGGCAGTATTTTTTTGAGACTCACAAAAAGAAAAAGCATGACAATTTTCTCTCATAATCTCTGAGCAAACAGATCATTGAAAAAGATTTTGTTAATTTTTTTTTTTTTGGGAGGGGGGGGGGGGGGGGGGGGAGAGACTGTCGACACCCTTGGGTCTTTCTTACCTGTGACAGAATGTCTGAGACGATCTCCAGTGGCACTTGATAAACGGCCTGGTCTTGCACACAGGTTGTCAATGTCATGTCTACCATTGCCTGCCAAAAAAAAAAAAAGAGAGAAAATTTTACTTTCATGAAATTAATATAAACAACTACAGGTTTGTCTTTGTCACAACGCAGAGTGATGGGGGCCCAGAACTATTTTATTTGACATTGTCTAACTCAGTTGTATCTTACATATACGTTTATATGCAAAAGAAACAGGATGGCCAGAATGGAATGAATAAGATTCATACCATCACAATGGGTGAATGGTATGTTTTGGTCAAGGAAAATTTGCTCATTAACCCTTACCCTACTAGACCCTCCAATGCATGCCAATATGTGCCTCAAGAAAATCTCCTATGTTTTTTGCATGGCCCTCCAATATCTGCCATGTCATTTCAAGGGTAACTGGACAGGCATTCCAATACATGCCACAGAGAACAATGAGAGTCCTCTGATAACAAAGTGAGTGCCCCCAGCTGGTCAGTATCAGGCACCCTCCAGGGCCTCCAACTCCTGCCAATTGGAGCCTTCACTGTTTAATAAAACTATCTGCCAATATACTGCAGCTGGAGGGCATTGGCATAACCAACTGACATGCAGTAAACTACCCTCAGAGAGTAAGGGTTAATTAATGAGAGTTCCCCTTTTCAACATTTCCATCAATGAAGACAATGTGTCTCTTTTTTTGTAACTGAAAGTGCCAACACTTCACAACTGATGCAAAATGTACCTTTGTTTCAGCATTTGTCTTTTAGAGCACCGGAACGGTAATCCGGAGGTCGCAGGTTCAAACCCCGCTCCTGTCAATTTCTTTGTTCAACTTTTCAACAACATTCAAATTTCTGAATTTTTTTTTTTTTAAATTTCCCATTTCTCTTGCCTCCTCCCCGACTCAAATCCGGATACAATTGCAAAACATGGATGATGACTGAATTGAGAGGGAACAAGTTAAAGCCGGCAAAGTCGATTTTCCCATTTGCTGGAGGCCCCAAGGAAAGCATTAAATGTGAACAGCTGTCAGAAGAGAGAAGCACCCTCGGATATTTGTTTCAAAAGACTACGGGGAAAAAAAACGGAAGGATGATCAGATGATTCGTTTACCGCGTGTGAGATCTACCCAAAGGGTTTACAGTGACTATGATTACACTTTAGGCTTGGTGTCTGGTTTCCTGACCCTCAGATCTAACAGACAGTCAGCCATGGACAGACAGGAACAGGATACCAGACTTTTACTAGAGCTATAATATGGTCAGATGTTGGGCATTTTTCTACCGTCTAACATATTTGTACTGTGAGAAAAACACAGGGTGAGTTAAAAAAAAAAAAAAAAAAAACCATAAATGGCAGGACTAATTTTTGAATGAAGTTTTGCCTGTAGCACTTTCAAAATCTAGGATATGAAAGCCCAATCAATCAACTTTCTTTTAGTACAAGAATCATTTAAAGTGCTCACTCATGTACTTTTCAAGTTACAGAATTTTGAACACAAACACCGTTTTAAAAGTTCTGTCCACGGATCACAAAAAAGGTAAGTGTTCTTTCAGCAAAACGAAAACAATTCACATGCATCCCTATGTGAATTGTTTTCGTTTTGCTGAAAGAACACTTACTTTTTTATGATCCGTGGACAGAACTTTAAAACGGTATTTGTGTTCAAATTCCTGTAACTTGAAAAGTACATGACTGATTTGAATGATTCTTGTACTCAAAGAAAGCTTTATGACTAGACTTTCATATATCTTAGATTTTAAAAGTGCTACAGGCAAAACTTCATTCAAAATTGGTCCTGCAATTTGAGTTTCGATTTATTGTGCTGTCTACAGTTTTAAGTACGTTCTGAGAACAAGTAAAAGAATTTTGACATGTTTATGTACACTTGACATGAACATCCTTTGCATTTTTTCGCGGAAACACCTTCCTATCCGCTGCTAGGAGCTCGCATTGATGCATTCCATGGCAGGCATGGATCTCTCAATATCGTCATCAGCGCCATGTTTATTCTGCCGATGCTCATGTGTGAGCCACACGTCTTCATCGACACCACACGCTGACACCCTCTGCATAAAACCTCCAAGCATCACAACGCACAGGGTGTCAATGACAATGTACTTCACAGTGCATGTACATGGACTCTCGTATGCAATGTCAAGTTTTGCAGCCCTTATTTTAGTGTTTCAACTTGCATTTTAAAGGTGTCAATACCGAGTCCAGATCGGAAATGAAGGGGGGGGGAACAGTCTTCTGTATTTCATAAGATATTAACACCTTTTCATTCCAGATCAAAACATAAATTACGCAGTTTGAAATTTAACTCTGAGCTGAATTGTACACGTGATTTTGTAAATTCTCCATTTTGAAACTTGCTCATCCAAAAAAAACAGTCAGGCGGGTCACCAACTAAAACGCTGCGTATTTTCTGATGATCTCATGTCTGATATTTTAAATCATTTCTATTCTACTCGTAGAATAGTGTTTAACCACTTCATCTAACATGAACGAGGCCAACCACATAGCTGGGCTAACAAACGAATTGAAGATGGTCCTTTCTTTACAAAGTTTGAGGTACAGTACCTTGACTTCTTTCATGAAGACGTCTGGTCTTGTGGTATTGCACAGCAGTTTCTTGTATCTGTGGATTGCGCGTTTCCATTGCATGGAGTGAAGCCACTGATCACGAACGTACAAGTTGGCCGCCTGCAGGTCGTGCATAAAAAAAGAAAGGTGGAACATGAATGTACACATCCCTATGGCAGTTGTATGGTAAAACATACGCACATGAAAATGAGCTTGAAAAGGCTGGTTCGTTCTTCACGAAACTGATCCGACGTCAACAAACATTCGCTGCATATTTTGCCAAAATTGAATTGTGTTCAACTTTCGTGAATTCACAGCACTACATGTCACCAATTCCCGTTTGCATACACGTAATTTGCATGTGGTGCCATGGATACTTTAATTTCATTGCCCTAGGTAGAATCTTTGTGTCATGCTTGTAAAAGTGAAGGACATCATCTGCTCATCAAATACTATCTCCCACATCATTTGCATCACAAAGGGGCAGTGCATGGTTCGAGTGTGTGGTGCAAAGAATATATGAATGTTGATGTAACATGTTAGAAGTGTAGGGTACGCCCAGTGAGCCTGCCACAAAACATATCATGTCCAACACGAGACTCAAGAAAAATCAGTGGTTAGGCCCCCAAAAAAATAAGTCGGTCTCTGGTCAGCGCGCGTCGATTTTAATCATGCGCGTCGAATTTTTTTTTTTTCCAAAATGTTCTGCGGTAGCTCCAACAGCGCCCTCTATTTCCGCACCTCCTCAATTTTTTTTTACCAAAGAGCACCAAGGAATGGGAAATTGCACCAATGCAAATGATCGAAAGCACCAAGGCAAATTATGGAGGACACCAATGTACATGAGGACACCAAAAAAGCAAAATAGTACCCACCTTGTCAGTACAATCCAAGCTTGAAGGAAAAAAAAAAAAAGCCCCCCAAAAAAAAAAAGCCGCGTGGCCACGTCAATTCCGGAACTTTGGTCTGACCAGAGACCGAATATTTTTTTTTTTGGCCTTACTCTAAGAAGATTTCAAACATTTGCAAACCACATTTAAGTACCTCACTACATTTTTGACCTGCCCACTGTGATGTGGCCAGAACACATTTTTTTTCACGCCTTGGGACATGCAATATCTTCATTACGATAGATTCTGTGGTAAATTTGCATGTTCATGGCAAATTTATTGCAGCATGCATGCAATATTTTAATATCACATTTTTTATCACTTCATGGCCCAAGCCTTAGAAGGGTTGCCTTTTTCAGATCACGAACAAAGTTCAGATTTCGACACAGTAATATTAAATGATTATACCTCATCATATGACCACCATTATGTTTACGACACATACCTCATTTGTGACTCTTTGGAAAATATAAAAATGACTCACGTGCCAGACTGAAAATATAAAAAAAATCTGTTGCAACCATCTGGAGACTGAATAATATTTTTTGGTTATTAATATACAGAGTGGCTACATGCAGCAGGACAATTTCAATTGAAAATTTGCCATCAACACGCAGATGGAAGCAATGAAGCTTGCCTTTCAAACGAATCAAATTATCAAACTGCCTGCCATGAGGATATGACTTCAACATGGCCGGAGGAAATATGCATGTTTATCAACTGTATGTATAAATGTTGTCTAGATTTAAAAAACGCCAGAGAAAAACATGCTCAAATTTGGGCATGGCACCCTGAAAGTATTTATTTTGAAATTGCAAAGTTGCATATTTTCTAGCATTGCACAATGTAAACCGTATGAGTTTTGTGGTAGGGCAATCTTAGGCCTGTTCTAGACACTGTGCTACTTCCACGCTAAACTTAAAGGGAATGTACAACATTTGCTTTTGCTGCAATTTACAGAAATAAATGGATTTGGAGGATTAGTACGTTATATAAAATATTGTTAAACTGACTTGTTTCATGTTTTGGGCTTGTAGATGCTGGAAAAACCAAGAAAACCTATCATGTTCTTGTAGTCTGGTTCCCTGACCCAACTTAAGATGAAACAAAGCAATTAATACACTTTGGGGAATTGTAAGGTCAGGGAATCAGTCTAGCAGGCTTGTACCCCTTCACAGGTGTGTGATCAATTGCAAAGAAAAGTCAGAATAACTAAATATGAAAAATTAAGAACAATTTTTGAAAAAACAGCCAGTTTTCTCCAACGCTGGTCGGCCGACCAGCGTTGGAAAAATACACTTTTTCTTGAAAATGTCAGCCCACCAGGAGCCACGATTTTACAGGATGCTTTAGACTGTCAGTCCCTTACAATTCAGTAAGGTATTTAGTGGTAATTTGATCATTTCGTTTTTTGATGTTTGCAAATGTTGTATTTTCCCTTTAATTGAAATGAGTGCGACAATAGCTCGTCTACAGCACGGCAGTTACTCTAAACGCCGAGCGTACATGTACATGTGTTGTAGTCGAACCTCAATGCATCTGGAGTAATGGGCCAGGGGCCAATTTAAGCACAAACTTTGCCTAAGCACACACAAAAAAAGTGCTTAATGTAATCAGGATACCGGCCCAAATGGCATGCAATGTACATTTTTTTGTGACTGGTATTTAGCTGTTGTTTACTTAGCATAACAATCACATGGAGTTTTGGCGGATAGCCTGATTATATTAAGCAAATTTTTTTTTTGTGCTTAGTTAAGCAAATTTTGTGCTTAAGCAGCTCTATGAAATTGGCCCCAGGTTAAAGCAGTTCAATGAACTTTCAGCGCAATCAAACTATTCGGTATCATTTTAATCGAAGGACTTTTAAAACAATTTCTATTTGTTGGGTAGGTGGTTTATCACTCTTGGAGAATGACTGCAATAGACAAGGAAAATAGGGCAGGAAAAAAAGTGGACCAAACATTTACAGGATGACCCATGAATACGAGGTCTGGTATCCAGTCTCCCTGCATCTTACCTGCAACAGTATAGAGCCTGTGTGAAGGACAATACGCAGGCAGGCGCTCTGTCCGGCCTCCCAGCGCGTCAACGGGTGGATGTCTGTTATGCTGCAGTATGGCAGAGGATACTCCATGAAACCAGAGGGCTGAAGGACAAGGAAAAGGGGAAGAGGAAGGGGCGGGAAAGAATACAAAAACACAGAGGTTAGTCATATCATAACAAACTGAAAGGTGATTTACTGAAACACTGAATTTACTCCTTCCTGCAAGTTTCAAAGACTTCAAGTGAGAACTCATGTACATGTACTATCAACCCACACCAGTTGACTATTGGACTAGTCTTGTCAACCAGGCACAGCCAGAATCCAGGTTTTCTCATGACACAATGATATGATAAGAGACATTTGCACGTTACTACTAGTCCTCAAGTGCAAGTTACACAAAGTAACAAATCAACCACACCACTAGTGAACCATTTGACAGGCAAGAGTGTTTTTGTTTGTTGACATGTTACCTCTTACTTTCAAGTGGGTTTTGACATTATTTTTCAACACCAAGACATATCTTCCAGATACATTGTAGGTTTGCACATTTTGCTGTTTCTGTGGTAAAACATTGGCAGTTTGACTGTATAGGCTACGTGTAGCCTTACCAAATTTAAAAAACAAAAATTCAAATTGCGTTTTCCCCTGTAGGCTGTACTGACCCAAAGTTCAAAAGGTTAGATTTTCTGAAAATTGGTTGTTGTTTTTTATTTAAATAAGTGATAGTATAATTAGCATGTCATTATTTCACTGTGAGCGGTTCTGATGAACCCTAAAAATCCCAGCTTGCCAGCATTTTCTAGCTACCATAATTAGTTCTCGTGTATAAATTACATGTATATATTACCGGCTTAATTATTCATGCTAGACAGAAGAGCATGCAAACTGTATCGGTGCATATTTGCCTTAAATTACATAATCCCGTGAAAGTGCTACACTGTACAAATGTACATGTATGTATTTATAAGAAATTATGCTGATCAAACATTTTTTCCCCTGAATATTTAAACAGTTTGATCATTTATTGTCTAGCAATAGCAGAAGCAAAGAAGTTGTGGTGAATACATGTATACATAGTTGTGGTGTATATGTTTTCGGGTCCAAACCATAGAAAGTGTTGCCTAAAAAAACTACTTGTTAAACAAGATAAGGAAAGAACTGCGAGAAAAATAATCTAAACCACAGTCCACCACGTAACAAAACTAAATTACAAAAATCTCTAGTACATCGTACCGACTCAAATTATACGTTTTCAGAGAAAAAGGGACAAACCCTCTGGTTGGCGTGTACTATATGTACCTGTACTTGCACGTAAGCCAAATAAAAATTAACAAGCGGTTTTATAATATTTTGGACAAACAATGAAGTTGAACGGAGGTAAAACAACAACGATTAACCCAAACAAACATGTTGTTCTTGTGTTTATTATCCACAAATCGTCCTGACAGCACCTTCTTACGTATCTACGTACATTTATGTACGTACATACACGTGTACGTGTATGTAATTTTCCTACGTACATGTACATGAATGAACAGAGTATAACTTTAGGCAAACTATGTATTTTGACCATTTCTGTTTTCACGCGATATGGCAAATTTGTTTACTGATGCAGTAAAAGATAAAACAGTTACTCCTCCGGGATTTTTCAAAAAGAGGGGGATGACGGCCTTTATATTTTCTTTTTAATTATTTTTCCAAGATGGCCGCCAAGTATTTAAATTCAAGATGGCCGCCAATTTTGGTTCAAAATGACCGCCAACTATTATGTATTAAAGCAAAATACCAGTACAAGAAAAAGTTAGCTTTTTTTGGTGAGAAAAAAAACAAAGGATGTAGCTTCAAAAAAGAATGCGGGCGGGGACGATCAACTGGTTTTTATTTTTACTCGGCCTAAAGACTAGGTACAATGTGCACATACATGTATTTTGTTGAAGTGAATATATGTACAACCATTGGTACTACGTACATGTAGTGTTTTAATTCTGAATGTATGTAACATTAAGACGTACAACTGTACATGTATTATTTTAAATAAAATGGGCGTAGGGCCAAAAAAAAAATATTAGTCTGTCTCTGGTCAGCGCACGCGTCGATTTTAATCATGCGCGTCAACCTTTTTTTTCAGCAGCGCCCTCTATTGCCGTACCTCCTCAAATTTGTGTACCAAGGAATGGGGAAATTGCACCAAGGCAAATGATGAAGGGCACCGCAAGGCAAATTATGAAGTACCCCAATGTATATGAGGACACAACAAAAGCAAAATAGTACCCACCTTGTCTGTACAATCCAAGCTTGAAAAAAAAAAAGGCAAAACACCCCCCAAAACCACGTTGCCGCATCAATTCCGGAACTTTGGTCTGACCAGAGACCGAATATTTTTTTTGGGGGGGGCCTAATACGGTAGATGCCTTTTTATTCTATCCATCCACAGGATCATAATTACATGTAATAGCACCGTACATGTTTGTAATTACTCATCAATTGTAAAGGTAGTATGTATAAATGTACCAGTACCTTCACCTTCACATGTACATTTATGTACATGTATGTACATACACTGTACCATTCATCACAAAGGTGACTAACAGTGTTTATTCAAATTTGTAGCATTTACAATGAGTGACAATATTGAAACTGGCACATCAACATTTGATACAAATTGATACTCAATAAAATCAATATTATGTGCCCATCTGTGCACAAACTCAAATACAAATTCAATACCTAAAATGTCTGTTCACATTTTGTGTACATGTAATATCATGCATTGAAAATTTTTTGGTTAATACCCACATACCCATGTGAGACAGACACTGCAATGTACGTAGGTATCGGTACCTGTACTACATTTGTACTTGTTCTACATAACCCCCAAGGACAGACACACAAAGGGAGAACAACAGATCCTTTCAGTCCTTGGGCGTTGGTCTTTTGTTCAAAACGGTCCTCTGTAGTAGGTTTGTGTGCTTAGTCTATGGGAGAGTGTTATATTACAGGGACAAAGGGAAACACAAAGCATTGTCCTCAGGAGTATAGTAAAACAAGAGTGTGTGTACACACTGTCATCACATTGCAAATAAGAGTCTCTTTACATTTAAAATGACTGAAAAGATCTACATGTTTACATGAGGTATTGTCACATATTTTCTCCTCACATCTGTTCTTAAAAATAAAGCCACATTTTTTTTGTATTCTGGCATTCAATTCTGGCTGTTGGTAAAGACACAATATGTGCATGAATGATATGTAAAGTACATACATGTGTTTTTCTTTTAACCACATATATGACATTTACACAATTCCTGTTACCATGACAACTTGTTTATTTATTACATGCAATGACATTTTAATTATTGATGACTACAGTGCATTGACTTTTTGTACGTGTATTGTAAAAGCTCTAGTGTGATACAGTAGTTTTATCAGGGGACCTTCGTCTCTGTAATATTTTGCACTCGCAGCAGATTATTGTCTGGAGCATGGATCATGTGGATTATAAATTTCCATAGTTTGGCAGGATTATGGATATTTCTGTCCATCATCTCGATTCTATTTTTTAGCAAATTTGTTACAACAGCGTGGTTATTCATACTTTTATAGGGCAACGGTAGATGAATGTGTGGAATTCATTTAAAAAAATGCAAAGCTGCAATTTAAACAAGTGTTTACCGCTTCCACTAAAATTTACAATGAAAAGTCCCCTTTGGTTTTTAAACATAAGTCATCGCTGCATATCAAAAGCACATACAGATGTAAATTGCATTTGAACTATAATGTGCACACAGTAAGTGCAAGTGTGAGGCATACATGTACCGCAGCAGGGAACCCCGAAAATAAAGTGCATGAAAATGTGCCTCTTACAAGTGTACAACACTAACACTGTACACGTACACGTTTGGATGGGGGTGTTCATCTATTCAAACCGTGGACGAAAAATACCAGAGAACAAAAGAGAACAATATCGTCCACGATTCCCAGCAAACGTCCGAGATTGAGGTCGTGCACAAAACCTATGGGAGTCTTCCTAAAAAGTTAAAGTACACTGTACAAATAACAGAGGAACAATAGGACGGTGTGAACACGACTGGGTGTCTGTGTATACATTGTGTACATGTACTTGTACCTTGCCTAAAATAAACACAGTGGGCCTACGGTCGGTACCTGTGCGGCGCTGATACAGCAACATACATGTACTGTACATACATGTGCACATAAACTTCACCCATCAGGCGGCATAATTTACTGTGAAACGTGTGTGCTTTACTTCAAACCACAAATACCCCCCCTGTACATACATGTACACGTACAATTACTAACATTATCACATTCACATTGACAAAGTGTCAATGTTACGTCTGAATGACTTTTTTGCTCATATTTTTGGCAAACTACATGTACATTCAAATAATTAAACACTTTCTGCAGTAGAGAAACACCCAACAACAAGTATTATGTAGAGCAACTACAAGCAAGGCATTCATCCTTTTCATAATGTGGTCATACATGTACATGTATGTCGCACATTGTGTCCCAACCAGGCGGAATGACCCGTATTTATAACAATTTGGCAACAATCTTTTCAATGTACACTGTACATATGTACCTGTACACGATGTATACCGGTACATACCGGTACTTCTGTACATGTCCACTTGGCTATCCACATAAATATTGTAACCATAAGCAATATAAAAATAACACATGATACAATTTAATACTACCGGGGTACCAGGAAGTTTCAGGTTGAACCGGGGTACCAGGAAGTTTCAGGTTGAAGAAAGTAGGCTGCATACATGTACAAATGTACATTTGCCAATACTGTCTGAAATTTGAACGGCCCATTAAAAACCCCTTGTTGAAATTGTCCGTTGCAATAAGACAGTGCACAGCTCACATAATTACTGCTGGCTGACAATGGTTTGACAGGGGATGATAGCCCATATTATGCACTGTACATGTACCCTGCCACATCAATCCCGATGGTTATGCTGTGTTGAGCATCTAGTAATAAGACAGCTATCAATTAGAGTCACACTCCAGATGACAGCAACCGAGGGGTTTGGCTCTTGATGATCGTGGAAATGAGGACAAACTGTCTT